ATGTACATATATATATATATATATATATATATATATATATTACATTTTACATGTTCCAGAGATGTGAACTTTTTTTATAGAGGTGTTAAGATTTTCCTTCATTGCAGATGTATAGTTATATTAATTTATAGAACAAGTTACATTTGTACAGCCAAAACTGGCCAAGAAGACCATTCAGGGGACTGATAAAATCTACACAAAAATGACCCCACAAAAATAGTGGTCACGTTGGCCAGGTGGTCTTCATGTAAAGGTGGTCACTTTTACGGGTTTGGCTGTATATGACTGCCCCAAACGAAAGCATAATGCATGAAAGATGGCATGTTATTCCAGGTATGATTTCCACATATGGCACCAATCACAGACTGTATTGCTGCAAAGCTTGTCACGGTTATAAAACAGGCCTTCTGATTGGTTGGTTGTGTGGCCTATCCTTGCTCATCTCTGCTTCAAGTCCCCCCTCCCCACCTGGGGACTGGGTTTACGTTGACTGATGCACGCTGATGACCTTGACGTTTTCTCCTTTAAGGGCCTCCTCCGCCTATTCCTAAGAAACCCACTATCTTCAAAACCCGCTCTGTTGATGAAGGTATTGGTGCTTGCGTCTTCTATGCACGTGTGCATGCCTACAGGACACCATAGCACTGCATGCCATGTGTACAGTTCTACATTAAAGATCTTGAAAAACTTCCCATCTACACGCGGGCAAATTGCAATCAAAAGTCGTGGAAAAGGGGATTAAAAGCTGGGTCTTTCTTGATTAAAGCGTGTGCGAAAGATTGTGTAATTCTTGCTTAAATCATGTTCATTTCTCGTGTTCGTGTAATCATGTGTGGTTATGCGTTGTGGATAGCCACATGCGATTACAGCTACATGTAATTAGTGCATGTACAAAAAATGTAGTTCAGATGATTTTTGCATAAGTTTTATCTTCATGCTACACTGATTTTTTACGGTTTTCTGTCACAATTTAAACACATTTTCACGACTTTTGCACGAGAAGTCAACAAATTAAAACCTTGGTAAAAAACGCGCGTGAGAAGGGAAGTTAGTCGAGATTTGTACATGTACAATATTGTATACTCAATCTGGCTTCCACCCCTGAAATGTTTGTTTGAACTGGTTATGTTTCCTGCATGTTGAGGAACTTTGTCACATGTATAGATAGTTCCAGAAGATTTAGGGGAATGTTTTAACATTAGCACCAGTTTGTATTTTATATTCTGTGATGTCTGCATGCAAATAGGGGAACTAGACTAAAGAATCATTTTTAGTTCTTGAATATCAAGCATATTGTCGTGTTACGTACAATGTATGTAATAGAAATTCACAATTTTGTCCTATGGCAGATTACACTATGGGTAATATGTTTTTATGTGATTATTGATGATATATTGAAATGATGGTTTAAACGTTTTCTACAAATATACTTTTCCTTTTGCATACTCAATGTTTTCATTGTCTTTGTACAACCTAGTATATCTGTTAGTACATTTGTAAGTTCTTATGTCAGTATGTATTTATCACTTTGCACATATCATTAATATGTTTGTTGTGACTACTTTTGTCAATGTTGTTATTACTCATTTACAAAACTATGGTTATTATAGTTTTCCACCCTTTTAACATTTTGTTGTTTTGTGTTAAAACTTTGCTCTCTTTTTGTTTCTGTAAGGCTTTGGTATGGTCACATTGCATGCTGGACCACCAGTTAACCCATTTAAGAGTATGCTAGGCACTCCAGGTAATGCATGCACTAACAGTTATAACTGCTAACAAACTCTCTGTATATGCACTGGTTATAACAATGCTTGGAATCATTTGTAGGTACATGTATAGTGATAGGTTTGTGATTGTGATTGTAGGCTGCGTACACGTACTAGTACACGTTTTCAGACCAGTCTTTCGTTCTTGTCTGACGTTTTGAAAAACAAAAACAGCAATTCTTTGAAAGAACCTCTTCTTTTACTTGTTAATGTAGATTGATTACATTTTGTTCTCATTTTGCTTGAATTAGTAAAATTTGAGTTGCAATGAGGGCTCTAGGAGCCTGGCTGTAACCAGTGCGAAATGTTTTTCTGTCACTTGGGTTTTCACTCATTTAGCCCAGGTTCATTCTTTGGTGCTCACCATCTATGGTCCCTCATGAAATTTTGGATTTTCAAGCCTTCAGAAATGCATTTTCCCTATATTTTTGGTGGTCCCTTTTACTGTCTTTACCTAAGATTTTTGAGAGGTTGGTTTCAATTTTTTTTCTATCACATGACAAAAGTTCGTCCATTGACAGAAAAAACTGTTGGCTAGAGCAATTTTAATGAAGAGGATTCTTTCAAAGGGAGTGTTGTGTTTGAAAAGGGGATTTCAGAAGAGCTTATGATCTTTTAAAGCCCCTTTTCACCTCATCTTATGTCTCTTTCTCTCCTTCCCTCTCTCTCTGTCTTCCCACCTAACATCGCCTTGAAGGCAACCGGCCGCCCAAACCACCTAAACCTCCAAAACCTCAAGTGTTACCTAAGCCAAAAGATGGAGGTCGGCACACACTGTGGCATTTTCTTCATCTCAGCATGGATAAATGCATGGATGCATGTCAGCTGTGTAGATCTCTGAGTGTCACAATCATGCATTGATCAAGCTTTGAGAGAAGATGTATTGTTGGTGTTCTGTACCAAAGAGAAGCTATGGAAGCCATGCAGTTGTGTCACACAGACTATGGTTAACAACCATGCAAAGTTTGGGAGCTGTATTCTGCCTTGTGCACATTGTTATTTTGCCTCCTTGATGCATAGCGACATTTTGTTTTGGTGCACAATGTCTTTATTGGCTAACTATCCACTAAAATTTTCTGAAAAACCCTGTATATCCCAGCATTTAGTGGATATACAGGGTTTTTCAGAAATTAACATTTATTCTGTTGTCTTAAATCTTTGGTACAGAATGACCAATAAATGTCGTCTTCTTTCCAGCATATTCAGAAGAGGCACTTCAATCTGTGCATCTACATGTAGAAAGCATGCAGCATAACTCAGTCATTGTAATCATTCTGCATGTCATGACTCTTATACCTGTATTGTATTGTCTTGTGTCTTTGCCTGCTTGTGAAATGTTATACTATAATCCTTACTGATCTTGTCTGTGTACTGAGTGTGTTAAAATCATCATGTGATGCATTTACATTGTATATGTCACCTCGAGCATCTTGAATCTGTATTCAACTTCTTAAAACTTACTGAAATCCTTCCACTGTAATTCAGATGTAGTAAATGTTTATTTTCATTGCTGTGTGCTAGTGGAAAATCCATAGCAATACTATAGCAAACTTAATCTGTGTTATAAGTATGAAGTTATGATTATGAAGTTATGTAGAGGTCTTACTTGATATGTTATTTCTTTGTTTTTAGACAAGAGTCAAAGAGTGAGTTTGATCAGTAATGACGACCTTGCCAACTTGAAGGCTGAAGAAGGTAACATTTAAAAACTTCATTTGCAATCCTATATATAGTCATAGCAATCTAGTCATAGATATTGAACCAGTGCTCTAGCCAGCCTGAATGTTTTTCTGTCATCTCAATTTTGTTTGATGTAACATCATGTTAAGTGCTAAAGGTGCGACAATTCTAGGAAAAATTTGATCTGATCGTTTGAAATGCAATTTCCTGCATTTTGAGGAGTAAATTTTGCTGGTAGACTTAACCTTTAACTTTAAAGACATTCCTTTCCATATTTTTACACACACATTTTTGTCCATCAAAGATGACAGATTAGGCAAAATTTTTGTCCCTAAAGACTAAAGACCTAAATGAAAGATGGACACTTGCTAGAACGCTGAATTGAACACTTGTTCAGTAAAACATTGAAAGCAAAGATTTTCCTCCAACTGAAGCAGCCTTTTAGCACCAAATTTGCTTTCATTACAGGGTACGTTATGCAGCAGGTAGAAGGTTAAACACCACCTGTTATAGTTCTTAACAAAGTTTCTAGACTGCAACATCGATCTGTCTTCATTAGTAGTTCATGGGACACAAAGACTGCCAATTAAATTCTTGCCAGCTGGCTTTGCCAACACAATAGATTGTCGCGTCACCCCAACAACTTTTAAAGAGGGTTGTTACCAACTGTGCTTGGTAGCAACGATTTCCAATCTACGATAGTTCTTTGAAAATACAAGTTTTTGAACACCTCAGTCCTTGGTTGGTAACTCTGATATTTGAAGGCATGACTGTTTCTTGTTCTTTTCTGGGCTGGTAAAGGGGATGTAATGTATGTATATATGTGATATGTTGCCGTATTGACTGTTGTTATTTTTGTTGACGTGTTTAGAGAAGAGAATGCTGTCGATGTCTCAGGATGAGTTGATGGCTCAGTACCAGGAGGACTATCCTGACATCACCGACGACTCGCTATTCCACGACAGTTCCTCCTTCAACAGAATGAGCATAGCCTCCAGTACCACCTCGGATGATTCAGCTTTCAGGGACCTGTCCTTACAGGAGACTTCAACGTCCAGATCCAACACCAGGTGGGCAGACATTAGTGTTTGTTGTTTATGTCAGGCTCGATATTGACAAACACGTCGTACACAAACACAAGGTAGGCAGGATTTTGTACCTACGGACCTGTCCTTACAGGAGACATCTACGTCCAGATCCAACACCAGGTGGGCAGACATTAGTGTTTGTTTATTGTTTATTTCAGGCTCGATATTGACAAACACGTACAGAAACACAGGGTGGGCTGAATTTTGTTACCTCCACGAAAAATGGAGGTACTGTTTTTTTGTCTGGATGACTTGTGGAGGTACATACATGTGTATATAGGCCATATGGATTGTGATGGTATTTAGTAGGTGGGTAGGCGGGGTGAATTGAATGGTGAAGTTTGATTTTTGGCACCTGGTGACTGCAATAGGAACTGTCCTAAGGCATATAACATGCCAGTTTTGTACAGTGAGTACAAGCTGTGTAAAACTAGACTGTAAGGTTTGAACCACTCACACTGGAAAGGATACTCTTTTCAATAAGTTTGGTGGGATCTTTAATGTCTTCATTCATTCCTTGACGTAAACCGGATATTTTGCAGCCCCCTTGCCCCCACCCCTCCCGACATCAGGACAGCAAAGGCAGAGAAGCGTTACTACGAGAGGTTAAAGGCCATGAGTCCGGAGTCGGTGACCTCTGACCCTGACAGGGCGCTATCTCCCGCGGAGGAGCGAGCACGACAGGCGGAGAAAAGAGCTGCCTGGAGACAAGCAAGGTGGGCTTCTCAATAACCTATAGCTAATAAATACAGCTACAGTGTAATTGGAAGGTACACTCTATAATGTATGATATATGTATCGAGCACTTTGTGTATAGTAAAGACTCCAGTATTTCTGATAGGCATACAAAGGTATTTTTACTTTCAAACATACAATACCTGCATGGCAACAAGGAAGATGGAGGTTCTCGTTAACTTAGTTATTAAAGACAACTGTAGCATACTTTTAAGCTATATTTGATAACGCTTTCAAGTTCAAGTATACATGTACATGTAGTTTCGGAAGATTGAATGCTGGTATTTTTGGTAGACATACATGTACATGTATGGTATGTGTTTTATACAGCCTGTACTTTCAAACATACAGTAAACTATGTAAACAAATGTTAAAATTCATCAAAAGCATTTCGTTTGAATAGTTGAAAATACAGTGACTCTACTAGTGTTATTAAAATGCTAACACAATTTTATCAGACCTTAGTCTATCCTCTGCTGCCTTATACTAGTAGTACAATTAGCAGTACCATGTATATATTTTAGCTGCCTTTCATACGGCCAACCATGTACATGTAGATATAACTCCATTGTATACTGACATGAGCTGTTGCCTAACTCTCCACCCACTCATGATCACACCAGGACTAACTTTCTGATGAATAGCAGGTTTAGGTGGGTTGTTGTGAGTTTGAGCTGATCTAGCCAACCCCTGCCTCAAGTTCACCTACCTATGTCTCACAGTCACTGCCTCTCTCACTGCTCTGCAGAGTTTCTCTCACTTTCTCACTGCTCCTGGTTCTTCTGAACACAGCAAGGGTGTGGAAATGGGGTGTATAGAAAGTGCGAAGCGGAGCGAAATGGGTTGAAATGGAGCGAAATTCGAAGCAAAAACAGATAGCACTTTCTGTAGACTTGTTGAAATGTAGTTTTCCACACTGCGCACAGTACACAGTTAACTGGCAAAAACACTTATTAACATGCATTATGATTTCATTATATAATAGTAGTGTCAAGAAGTGTGACCAGTTATATGAAAGTCACAATAAAGTTGCATGGCTTTACAAAATAAAGGAGTGGAATGGGACCTTCCATACAAAATATTCATTTATTGTATCATGAAAATGGCCCAAAAAATAAATTACTAGTATTATACATTTAATAGATTTAAAATAAAAAGGTCTGGGGGTATAGCATCCATGCCTAATCTCGGGTGACCCTTAACTCTGTGTCAAAAACATCCTGTTCTTTCTTGTCTTACGATCTCTTCAAATCCCTCCCATATTCTCAAAACTTTTCTATCAGCAAACCCTAAGCATGGTTAACTTGGTACTTGGAAAATGAATGCAGGAAGATACTAATTGTTGCAAAATATGGTGAAGATGGCTGGATGGTTCAGTGTGTTTTCTTGGTGATTCGTTCCATTTTTTATTTATTTTACTTTGCCGGTTGTTCTGTTGGTGATGCAAAATGGTGTTAAATGTGCATGGTTTCCACAGGTAATATTGTTGTACTTGCACAATAAGTCCCACCTAAGCTGGTGAATTTTTAAAAGTTTCTGCTAAATTATAAAGTTTCTGTTAAATTTTCATCCAGAGTACTACATGTATGTTTCTCACTGCTCATTATTTTGTGCCATACATAATATCATGACTCCAATATTTTTCTTTGTCCCCCTCCCCCCTTCCCACCACAGAATGAAGTCCCTTGAAGAAGACGCCCTGAAAGCACAGATGGTCATTGCCAAGGTCAAGGAAATGAAGGTCAAAGGCTCCTTGGAGAGGCTTGCCGAGAGCCCTACGCCGAAAACTGTGCCAGATAGGTCACATGGTGAGTCAAAGGTTGTAGGTTGAAGGTCAAATTGCAGCGGCAGCATCTAGATTTAAAAAAAACTGAGATTGTATTATCATATATTATTCCAGCAGTTTAATGCGGCTTTGTGCTTGGTAAGGAAAAAAATCACTAATAAAAAATGTTGCAAAGTTTTGTCTGAATTCTAAGTACTTCTGTAAGTAGTTGTTTGATTGTTGTCTGATGTGTGTTCTCTGCTCCCCCCACCACTCCTGCAGAAGACAATGGAAATGTGTCCACAGACGCTAACGACAACACACAAGATTCTCCTGCATCATCACAGGTGTTTGTTTCAACTTTGTTTGGTCCCTTTTATGCTTAGGGCCCTATCACATTTATTGAGTGGTGATTGTACAATCACAAACTAAGTAGAAAATATGAAATTCAACAAGACCTTAGTAGAAAATATGAAATTGATGTTTCTGGATTGTGTTATTGAGGTGACTGGCTGATGTTTGTTTTTCTGTTGTTTTGTTTAGTCGTCATCCTACACTGGTTCCTACGGTAACTACAGTAGTCAACAAGCAAACGGAGACAACAGTAGTCCATCCGAGGGGAAATACATCGAGCAGACATCATGAGACTTGCACCAGGACACTCTCCTGTAGTTAAGACATTCATAGGACTGTTTTAAGACATTCATAAGACAATGGCAGCTCAAGACAGGCAAAACCAACTCCTTAACTTGTCTCTCTTCCTCTAAATTTTGTCTCGAAGTTGCTTATTTTTTAAAAATCGAGGTTGTCTTTTCAAGATGGCTTTTGAAACTGCTTAGTTGACAAATCTGTCTCATTTTACCTTTTTTTCTGACTTGTTAATTTGTCAAGACTGGCTTTGCTTCTTATCGGTTGCCATTTTAAAAGAAAACAATTGATTGTAGTCCCATTGTCTTATGAATAATGTATAAAAAGGTGAGAGGGTGAAGTATTGTGTACTGAAGAATAGAGCAAAGATTTGGTGTCATTCGAATTTCTTCAAGGGCTCAAAGAGTTCTTTATTATGATTTTTTTGTACTTATGAAATTTTTTCATCTTCAGTTACTAACATTATTACCTCAATGCATCTCTGTATAATACTTTTCCTGATTATTTGTAAATGCATTATTCTTCTTTGATGTTGATATATTGGGAGTTTTAACATGTTTATCATATTTCCCTACATGTGTACTTTTGATAGAGAGATTTTGTCTCATTTTTTAGCTTCTAATGGATTAGAAGTAGTTACTTCGTCATTTTTTACACATAGATTTTAGACATTTTAAACTTATACCGACTCTGTGTTTGTGTGGATTTGCAGTAATCAACTGTCTTTCTCTCAAATCATGTTTTGTTGGTTCAAACATTCACAAATGAACGGTGTTAAAGTTGTCTTACTTGGATCATTATCTTTTTAACAAATGAAAATTACTAAATCTGTGGCCTTTTCATTTTGGTGAGCTGCACAATTTGCCAATTGGAAACGTAGGGCTAGGAAACATTTTTTACACCAATCAGATTTGAAAGAAAACAATTATTCTTTGTAATGTTATTCAATGTACTGTTTTTAGTCCGATTTTTTTTCTGATTTTAAAGTTCTTGTTTGCACCTTGTATAGAAAATTGCACAAAATTCAGATGAGGAATATGGCGTTACACAGAAAGTTGTATAAAGCACATTGGTGTTGAATAAGCAAAGGATTCTTTTGGTCGTAACACGATGAAAGAAATGACCAAAAGTTGTGTCATATCACGAATTGTAAATGCACTGTTAGGAAACAGAGATGGTCGATTATGTAGACAGGAGTGTAGCATAATGTAGCTCTTAGCGTGGACATACTTTCATTGTAAATAAAGCACCAATGAACTGAATCATGTATACCTTAGGCAACATCCTACGAATGTTTGAGACCCAATCGTGGAATCGGCTAACTTTTGAAACGACTTTAAACTGAGGTCTACTCGACAATCATGGAATCAGGTCTGTCCTGTAGTCAAGTTTTGGTCGACTGGAATGTGTCACAGAGAATGGTTGTACAGCAAAGTAATGGTTTTGGTACATGTAACATGGTCAGCAGTTCAATAACTTCTCACCTTTTGGGTGGAAGAACCACACGCACGAATGTATCACTGTCAGGAACAGATATTTTGTGATCACCATTTAAGATATACCGTATCCTATGGCAGGCGTCCACTGTACTCTGGTATTGTCTATGTAGGACAAAATTGTTTCTTACAAATTGAAAACTGAGAACACTTCATCTGTAATAGAATTGGCTCTCATAGAGAAATCTTAGTAATACAAATTGGTGTTTCAAAAAATGCCCTGATATCTCAAAACACTGTAACTGAACATCTCAAAATAACTGAAAGTCAGATTTCCTTGCATAGGGTGGTGGTTTTTACTCTTCTATTTTTCAAATGAACTTCCTAAAAACAGTCAGCTTGTATAGTGGACATCTGGGCCTATTTCAAGTTAACTTACACTGTATTGTATGACTTTTAACTCGAGTGCTGGTTTTTGTACATCATTCCCCATATAATTGTATAAATGGCTGCGTGTACATTTTTACACCCGTCTCTCTGAGACGATTACTACCCCCCAAATGTGAAATGGTATGTCCCAAGTAGTGTTTGTACCACTGTAGCTGGTTGCGTGGGAGATACCATTTCAGGTAGCATAGGTGACAATAGACATCGTTTTCAAATCTTACAGAATATATACTGATGGTGCAAAGTTTCAATTTTGTAAAGGAACTATATACTCAGTAATGTACTGTTGACAGTACAGCCAATTATAGAAGTGTACCTTTTAACCAGTACTTGTCTACAATACCACATTTCAATAGTACCGAACTTAGAACTTTTCAATGGTAAATACTGTACGGTTGGTAGTATAAAGTTTTCATAGTGGTCTCGTAGTCTCAATGAATGGAACAAGGTGGTTTTAAGTTTTATACATGTAAGTCGAAACAGCGAGGTACGCTAGCCAATTGTAAACTCTTTACTATGTGGCTAAGACACAGAACTACTTTTAAGAGAACTTGATATTGTAAGAAGAGCTATTTTTCGGCTATATGGACGTGAAGCTCTGGTTTTTCGCAGCAAAGTTCCATGTACAGTTCCAACACACTTTGTGCTTATACATACAGGTGTAACAAGTGGATTGTCCATGTAATTAATTCATATGTAAAGTTTTACACAAATGATTGCCACATTTCAGAAGAAATTCCACCGGACACAGTGTAACAGTACATGTACATGTATATGCCTTGGATCTAGCAATTGCATTCAATGTATCACAATGAAATAGAGGATAGCAGTTTTGATATGATATAGCTGTTCTTGCCATCTTATATACCAAATCCTAGAACTTGGTGTTACCATTTCACATGCCTGGTTTTAAGGAAAAAGCCATTGCACTTTAGGTATTCACATCAAAACCTTGGAATTTTCACTGAAATGTGTGTGATAGTTGTGTGTTAATTTTTTTGTGAAACTTTATCTAGACATTGACCAAATTTTGTAGCATGTTTAGTGTTCTGTAGCTATTTGTAAGGATGGAACAATCAGATAGGTGGAAATCTTGCTCATGGCTGTACATTATTGCTCTGCTCTTTCTCTCTCTTTACTCCCAAAGAACTAAAAAAAATCATCCTAACTATATTTGTGTCTGGTCTGGTTTTTGCATTTCTTGTTTCTCTGTGTAAATCACAAGAACATACATTAGACATTAGAATTGCAGTTGGTAAAAATTTTGTGACTATGCCATTGAACTTGTATTTCAATAGAAAGATTCTAATACATTTCCTTGTGAAATTATCAATGAAACCTGTTTTATTGCAATTGATTAGCATTTTAGGAAACGCGTAGCAAATCTATCACATTGACGCACTTAGTTTTAAATCGCCATGGATCAAAAGCGCCCCCACAGCGGCGAAAAAAATCACTGCAGTAAACGGAGCAATAATTTGACGCGCCTGGTGTTGAAATCGCCGTGGATCAAAAGCGCCCTCACAGCGGCGAAAAAAATCATTGCAGTTAAAGGAGCAACGATTTGACGCGCCTGGTGTTGAAATCGCCATGGATCAAAAGCGCCCTCACAGCGGCGAAAAAAATCACTGCAGTAAACGGAGCAATAGTTACCGGTCAATAGTTTGACCCACCTGGTGTTGAAATCGCCATGGATCAAAAGCGCCCTCACAGCGGCGAAAAAAATCACTGCAGTGAAAGGAGCAATAGTTAATGATTTGCCTATAGCATGGGCATCCTCCGTCGTTTTCGCCGGCTCCCTAATGTCGCTGGCTACCATTAGGGAGCCGGTGGAAACCACGCAGGATGGCACCCAGCACCCCCATCAAACTCCTTTCGAGCCGTACCCGGAAATTCAAGCCGCACCCGCTCAAAAATTCTGGCCGTACCCGCTCAAAAAGTCTGGCCGTACCCGCGAAAATTTCAAGCCGTACCCCGTTTTCTGACAGTTTTCCGACAGTTTTCTGATAGTTTTCCGACAGTTTTCTGACAATGTCATCACCGTTATCTTGTGGACTCGGTGTGACGAGTTCAAGATCGACTTTCCTGCTTCCTTCTATTGACGTTTCACCTAATTGTCGCCACTTCAACAGTGTCAGTCAGTGTGTCCATAGTTCGTAATGCATGCACAGTTACGGGGTAAATCAGAAGAAGGCCACAATCTTCCAAACTCTGCTTGCAAAATGTACAATGGTGGCCATATACCCCACAGGATAACCCCGGGACCCGAAGCCAGGCCACCGCGGGACTAGGCCGATTTCTACTCGGTCCGCTGGCGACAATGGCAGTAAATCGACGGAGACATGTGGTCATATGTCGCCGTAAATTGCAGCACCATAGGTCGGTTAGAGTTTGCATGGCCGCAGGCCGGCTTAGCAATGTTTTACTGGGGCCCGGGTACTGTCCTTAGTACTGAAGCAGTGACGATCGGGCTATTGTCGTTGTCGGACCCGGGTCTTGAGCCCGGCGGTACTCCAGGGTTCTGCCGCCGGTTGTAGCCTAGCGGCACCATCCTCCATGATCTACCGCTAACCGCCCGCTCTCTTTTCGCTTGCTAACCAATGATCCGTGGAAAGAGAAGAACGGGAGAAAGAAGAGAGCTGGCGAAACGAAAAGAGCCGTCGGAGAGAGAGAGAGAGAGAGTCGGTGGTAACTACGGGGAATGCACCTTGCCTAGGCAAGGCCGGCTCGGGATCCCACCGAGAACGACCGCCGGAGCCCTCTACATCCACCCCGCCCACAATATCTAATTCATCCCTTAGCTAGTACAATTCCCCCGAAAATGCAGTGGTGAGAAGTTTATGTCATGAAAATAAGTCATTAGCGATGAAAATAAGGCAATTCCGGCTCGATATTTGTTATAATCCGCGATACGAACTGTGTATTAGCAACTTCCGGTTGGGCGACGTCGGCCGCACGGTCTCTGGAAAACTGACAGTTCTGCAAATGAGGAGACCGTGACCAGACCGAAAAATCGACATAAAACTTCAACGTACGGCTTTTGTCTTCGGTGACATTTGTCGATGATTAAAAACGTACAACAGAGCTGCTCAAAACTTATTGAAAGTACACAATATTTTCTTGAAAAGTTGAAATTTGTGCTTCGAACGGGTAAAAATGGTAACCCCCAAGAGACCCTAATTTGGGACTTTGCAAACCGGAAGTGTAAAAAGAGGCGTGTCCTTGTTAATTGGAGATTTCGGCCACTCGCGGATTTCGGCGATTTGCGAATGGGCAAACGGCAGAGGCTCGTAAGGGGGTTTCAAGTTTATACAGAAAAATTCATATCATGACTTTGTCAAAGCGTTTACATGTCTGAAACCAAGTGTTTTATTTTTTGTAGGCTTTAAGTAAAATAATCAGCGACAAGGTATCCAAATTTACGTGTTTCTTGAGGCTAGAAAAAGATTTCATTTTTGGACCGATTTTCACACATATACTTCTTTGGTTTAATTCTGTTTGCCAAATAAACGTATGGATACAAGGAACAACTCATTTCACACATTATACTACAATCCTTTTGTAAATTTAACTCTTTCTTGAACGTTTTGTACCTATTTCTAACTAGCAACCTGGTAATAATATACTGACTCTTCCTAATCCATTAAAGAGACCTGGCATCACACTTTGATTGACAGAATTTATGTCTGACATTTCCTCATTACCACTCCCGTGGGTTAATAACCTTGAAATGTGCTCCTCTGTTCAAGGACGACTTCTTTCTGCCGACTAACTCCATGTTCTATTCCCGCCATGTATAACATTGGGTCTATCTCATCTCCAAGCAGATGTTGGGAGGCTAAATCGTTTAGTATTATAACAAGGCCGTTTTGCACACCTGTGTAAAAGAAAGTTTGGAATGTTCCGATCAAAATGGCGCTTTTGTAGGACGGGAAGTCCCTGGGCCGATTTTTAAAACAAATTTTCGGGAACTTTTTGGAGTTTTCGTCGGTAGAATGTTTTATTAAGTGTGCAGCATAAGCTTTTGTAGTTTTTGCCGTGGTTTGTGCCGATCTTGTGATGTTTTGAAGAGAAATTGCAGATTTCCTGACCTGACGAATTTTGTAGAAGACGACAAGATGGCGAGACAGTTGGGAAGAGTAGCATGACCGGGAGACGACTTCGCTTATTTTTGCAGGTAAACCAGCAAATTGTTTGGCTGACATTCTTTCCTAGCAACTACTAGTAGAGTACGAACATGTCAAGTTATATTGTATATTTCGTAAGAAATGACATAGTTCTGTTTTAGAGAGCGACCGTTCCTAATTTTAGAAAGGCAAATGTTTTGTCAAATGTATATCTCTATGTATTCCAATGCACACACACGTCAACATTGTGTCAAATACATGTCAAACTTGAGTCAAATTCGTCTTTTGATGTATGTTTAATTACGTACATTTTAATTGGTTTACAGATCTTTTCCTGTGTTGAATTAGATACATCGTATGGGTTAATTACAAATAAATAGTACAATATAAAGTCTTGAAGTCCCGTTTTGTACATTCTACTCTTGGGTCTGCCTTTTTTCCAGAAGGCAGTGGTGTATTATACTACGGCGAGCATAAATAAGGTATGCGTTATTCATATTGTACAATTTTGTATATATACTTTTCTTTCCCTCATAAGTAGGCTGGGATCGTCATTTGATTGAGTACCAGACTCGTAACATTGCATGCATTACATTTTCATGAATGTGAATTTAAATATTTGTCATTCATTGTCATCTCAGCCACTGATCCTTACTTGCTAGTACCGGTATACCTTATCCATAACATTATATAGTCAAGAATCATTTTGTACAACATCAGTACGTTGTAAAGTCGCTCCGGCCTAAATATAAGAACCCCAGAGGTATACGTCAACTCGTGCAACAGTTTATGATTGAGACGACAGAAAAATTGCCATAAAATACTATATACCTGTTCATAATGCAAACAGTATAGTTGAACTAAATTAGCACCACCTAACGGTGAAGCTGAATAGGCAATTTGAAAGTGTTTGAGGTATGTTCAGTTTTTTTATGACAGTTGCCAATACATATTAATAGTGTTCCTTAAAATGCATGGTTCTCCAATGTTTCTTAGCTTTAGTTCCCATTTCAAAGCGACACTGAAAGCTGACAGGATATGGCTGTTGTTGTATATTATAAAGAAATCCTGATCGAATTTTTCAAGGGCGTTTTTCTTAAAAGAGTTTCGGTGACAAGCTTTCAAAACGTCTCTTTCTTTTGGGGAGCCTTTTCTACATACATTCTATATTGCGTTCCTATAGGGTGTATTCACAATTGGTGAATCATTACGGAATTGGTAAAAGATACATTCTAGTGCATGTATATGGTTTCATCAGAAACGAACGTATTTGCCCAGTCACGACAATGCAAATGACCTACATTTGCATTTTCGTGACTGGACAATGGCCCGTAAAGTTAACTGTTTCATCTATATATATGTACTCGTGCAATCTATACATACAATACGCTATCATTCATAACATTTGGGCTTCTGATTGTAAAAGACTACAATCAGCGTATAATACTGATAAATACTAGGCTTTTCAGTTATAATACTGGATATGATATTTATCATATGCTAATCATGAATGATCTTTACCTTGATATTATTAAATGTTCATAATAAAATTCATATTACGGTCCACTTATTGCACAGTAGTTTGAAAGAGTGTAATAAAAATTAAAAAAAAAACGAATATGTACAAAGATAATTTTACACCTTTGCAAATAACTTCTTATTGCGTATCATTAGGTCAGTTATTCCATGGGAAAACCTCGTTGGTGGTTGACTGTTATTCAGTTTGGTCCTCATTGTTGAAGAAAAGTCAACATTTCATTGCCGTTTCTGGAAAAACGAGACGAAACCGCGCAAGATTTTGAAAAACCAGTAGTAGTTGAGGGTGTTGAAGAGGGCACATCCGCCCACGTAGCAAAGCAGGACGGGTACCGGAAGTTGAAAGAACTGCTGGGAGTCGATCACCATGAGCCTGACGAGGTTGTAAGTGGCGACTATGGTGGACAAGACGCGTCCGAAGAAAAATGTCACAACCATAGCGAGTCCGTTGCAAATAAAAAGAGGAGAACTCTGATCGCCTAGCTGTTTGAGAATCATTCTGTGGAGACAGAAAATTGGCATGTGATAACCTTCACAACAAGTGGCGATAATCTGGTGTCATAAAAAATTATATCAGAAATCAATATAGCATAATATATACAGTCATTATATTGCAACAGTCAAATACGTCATACAAGCATACGAAAGCATTTACATAATATATAGTACCATATCTACGAACTTAAGACACATATCTACTAGTATTACATATTTTGCTTGCCAACAAGAAACACAAAAAAATGATATTGTAATGGGTTCGTCCTTTATTTGTCCATTTCCTTTTTGTAGGAAGTCAATTTTTGCAATTTCAAATGTTGACAACCTGTCTTCGACGAAAAGTGGCGAAGCTTACCGAGTGTTAACGAAAGGTCCGGAAAATGACAAAACTTACCGAGTGTTGACGAAAGGTTCCGGAAAATAACGATACTTACCGAGTGTTAACGAAAGGTCCGGAAAATGACGAAACTTACCGAGTGTTCACGAAAGGCCCGGGAAATAACGAAACTTACCGAGTGTTGACGAAAGGTCCCGATATTTCCATCATGTAGCAGATGTTGGCGTAGTAATGTAGACATGGGTATGTCTGCACGAGAAAATTGAGCCGATATTAGTGAAATATTGAGGGCGATGCACTCAAAACACAGGAAAAATAATCTGTGGTGCTCCAAAATGTCATAATCTGGTCAAACAATTGTATTTTGTATTTGAAGGTAGGGCTTTGAGCATATCAGTTTGTAGAATGGCTGCATTTCTGCTTTTAGGCCTACACAGACCATGGCCAGCTCTTCGGCTCCAGGGCCAACATGCCCCCAAGGAAATTTCACCACAGATCGGTCACTCACTCACTCACTCACTCACTCACTCACTCACTCACTCACCCACTCACTCACTCACTCACTCACTCACTCACTCACTCACTCACTCACTCACTCACTCACTCACTCACTCACTCACAGAGCGCCTGGTGGAATGCTCTAGGTGAAGTCCATTCTTTGTGTAGGAACAAAAGTGTTCACTTGAAACATGTGACCAACACAGATGAACTTTTATTAAAGTGTTATAGTAGCAGCTTACCAGTGATATGTAGGCTGTGTATGTTGACACTACGTGGTGAAGGAAGCTCGCCTGGTCCACTACTCGATACCACACCATCAGCAGACAGGCTGAAAAGTAAAAACACACATGCAGTCAGTCACATGTAGTGTTCATTCAGACTGATTGGGATCAGTTTGGACCCCAGACGTATATTTATATGTGTCATTACAGCATTTTGATTGGAAGAAAGCTTCTTCAGCCATCTTCCGATGGATTCCATAAAACCATAGATTCAGCACCAAGGACAGGTGTCATGTACACTCTCACACAAAACTATAGATTCAGCACCAATGACAGATGCCATGTACACACACATAAAGCCATAGATTCAGCACCAAGGGCAGGTGTCATGTACACACACACAAAACTATAGATTCAGCACCAAGGGCAGATGCCATATACACCCTCACACATAAAACCATAGATTCAGCACCAAGGACAGACACCATGTACACACTCACACATAAAACCATAGATTCAGCACCAAGGACAGACATCATGTACACTCTAACACATAAAACCATAGATTCAGCACAAATGACAGATGCCATGTAGACACTCACACATAAAACCATAGATTCAGCACCAAGGACAGACACCATGTACACACTCACACATAAAACCATAGATTCAGCACCAAGGACAGACGCCATGTACACACACATAAAACCATAGATTCAGCACCAAGGGCAGATGTCATGTACACACACATAAAACCATAGATTCAACACCAAGAACAGATGCCATGTACACACTCACACATAAAACCATAGATTCAGCACCAAGGACAGTCACCATGCACACTCTAAGACATTGAACCATAGATTCAACACCAAAAACAGATGCCATGTACACATCCATACATAGAACCATAGATTCAGAACCAAGGACAGATGCCATGTACACACTAACACATAAAACCATAGATTCAGCACCAAGGACACACGGCATGTACACACACATTGAACCATAGATTCAGCACCAAGGGCAGATGCCATGTACACACTCATATATAAAATCATAGATTCAGCACCAAGGACAGATGCCATGTACACACTCACACATTAAACCCATAGATTTAGTCCCAAGGACAATTTTCTTACACATGAAACCATAGATTCATCACCAAGGAAAGACTCCATGAACACACTAACACATATGTGTGTCTGCGTTTTCGTACTGCACTTTCTGCATGTTCTACCCGAGGGCGCCTAACATCAATGCAGTGATGTCTAATGCGTCTAATTGTCTTGTTTTCTCGTAGGTTTTCTCGATATCAGAGATATCAAAGTTGAAAGTCTGACTCACCCGCAGCGCAGTATCCAACCATAAGTGAGTTCATAATCTTCACCAGCGGAGACTCGTGCCTGCAGTAAAAAGAACATTTTATGTAAGTTACTTCAAATTAAGTACAGAAGCACATGCTGGCCTTTTGCGGTATTTATGAGTTGGCAGTGTTCTTGAGTTCCGTGGAGCCTCTGTATAGCCTGGGAGCCATCCTCCGTAGTTAGGGCCTGAGCCTCGGAGGAGGTTTTTTTTTTTAAAACAGGCAAAAATCAATGCACGCGTGGATGTCATCCATAAAATTTAACCAGTGTGACCTAATCGGAGATTCCTTACCATACATACAAACAGACAGACAAACAAACAAACAAACAAACAAACAAACAGTGAAACAGTACGTACCAGATGACGTCATGAGGTACTTGGTCGGTGTAGAGGCAGGTGTACCAGGCCAGCGTTGCCATGACAAACACGTGACAGATGGACAGCACTCTGGAACGACACACGGCGAAATGTTTAAAATCTCGCGTAGCCTCGCGCCAGATTGTGCTCTCGCGAGAGCGGATTTCAAAATGGCGCCGGTATTTGAAAGGGGTCTATTAGATCTATAACACAGCCTCATAAACAAGCCCCACAGGGACCCAGGTAATAAAACAGTATGACCACCAATTCTGTTAATGGGTATTAATATTTATGGCTTAATTAGATCGCGATGTTTGATGACTGCACGGTTAATTATATTGGCAGCTAAATATGAGGGTACGTAACTGATAATATTATCACATTACTTCAAGTCACCCAAAGTGATTTCAGGGCAGTACAGTAGAACTGGATTTTTTCAAAGTCGATTTTCTGGTCATTTTTTGTAGTGAGTTGAATCAATCCTTTCCCAAAGCATACTGATGTCTGTGAGGCAAAAATATCACTGATGGAAAACAGTTGCTTGTTTTGTATGGTAAACTGGTTCTAGCTATTTATTAGTGGTACTAAAAAGTAAAGGACCTCTTCTAGTAGCTAGTTTTTTGGGCTATTCCAAACACTTTGGTGGGCTTTGAAAAACTGCTTAGAAATGGCAGTTTTATATTCATCCAGAATATCGTTTTGTGCTGTTTGCCGCATTGCATGCCTTTAGAATTATATGTGACCATTATAGCTAATACAATCAACATATAATGATTACATACTAGACGTTGAGTAAAATGTATAGCAAGTATTTTGTTACACTTACGCATCTTTAATGAGAAAGTCTTTTCTTGGTGTAAGTTGATCGAACCCGGGAACGAGTCGCCTGAAGAGCGCAGGCGTGAGGATGGTGAAGATTGGGAACGAGACGACGAAGGCGCCGGCGACGATTAGCCAATGAAAAAGCTCCACAGCCATGACGCTATAACTGGAAAAAATGAACAACATTTCAATGACAATGCAATGAGATATAACATGAACGTTTTGTTCTCTTTCTTCTTCCTCTTTTTTAATTCTCCAAACAAATACACTGTTTTGTAAGGTCAATGACCTGAACCAGACGTCTGTCACCACGGTAACTAGTGTTGGGTTACATCATGTTGCAATTTTATAGCAGTAGGGATTTAGACTCCTGTCACCATATATATATATGAATATGTTTGAGTAAGAATTAACCGAGCATACCATATGCGAAGGTAAACATTATGCCTTTGCTTTGCAAATGTTACCTTTCTAGTTTTGTGTTGCTTTCATCTATCTATTTCACGTGTTCTCATAATCGTTATAACCAATTTTCTGGTACGCACGTGTAAGAAGGTGATGAGAAACCATAATGTCTTAACTGTGGTCTAGAGACAGATCAATACTAGTAAATGCTGCGGCCAGGCACTTCTAACGGCTCAGTCGATACCTGATCCCATTTTCAGCGAACGAAGCAGAATTACACATCGAATAAGGATAGACAGATACATAAATAGATAGATGTAGGTAGATAGATAGGTAGATAAATGGAAATAGATAAATAGATAGAAAGAGACAGAAATAAATGTTGATCGAGCGATGTAGATAAATAGATAGATAGATAGATAGATAGATAGATAGATAGATAGATAGATAGATAGATAGTAGTAAATACTAAGTACTGGATGGGGTATTGGAACAATAGTTAGTATGGCCCCAAATCTGGGTTCGTTTTAGAGATTCTTGAATGAATGAATGAATAAATAGATGACGAAATGAATGAATGAACAAAAATGTTAAAGAGATAAATAGAAAACACACACATATGCATATAGGCATATAATCAACCATGAATATATTCATAAGTGCATGGAGGTGGCTGGAATTATCATGTAGTGGGGGTATTGTCCCTGGGGTTTAGGGTCACGCCCACCGGCGATTAACCCACACAATAGAACTGCAGCTGGAGTATATATAATACACGAGACTATTGTACCTTTAATACCTTTCCCAGCTTTTCGTACACAAAGAATTGCCTTTTGTTCGCCTGGAAACCATCCGTTTTGAAGGTATAACGGGGTTAGAGAGTGCAAGGAGCCCTGTTACAAAACGGATGGCACCCAGGCTAGCATTTTGTACCAAACGTTTTCGCAATGTTGTCTGCTGTGAGTGACCAAGACCAGGCCTTCCTATATAAGGGTGACGAAATTGTAGAATTCGGCAAAAATAGGGCCTGACTGGCCAGTGAAAGGGGTCCAGTTAGGGTAAGCCAACTCTATGGTGGCCAAACTAGATTTTTAACCTCTATCAGGCTTCGGGAAGCGGCTGGAAAGAGTCAGCAATATTGGCCGAATAGACAGATAACATGCCAGGGGAATCGATCCGCTAAGGAGTACATTAATATTGTCTATCTGGCCAATTTTCACTCTTCCTGGTCGCTTCTGAAGCCTGGTAGAGGCTAAATTATTCTCACTAAAATTAAAAATTTTAAAATTTGACTGTTTTTTTTTTACACGCGTTGTTAGACTGGAAGAGGCTATTATGTAGGTCAAACCCCCTTGGCCAGAAAGACTGATAGAATGGACAATGGAAGGCTAAAAATTATTTGAATTGTAGGTTTTATATACGTGCTGAATAATATATAAATTGTCTAGAATGCTTGTATCTTAATAAGGCTTGAACACGTTCGAATGTGTGAATACTTCATACCTGAATGTTACGATATAACAAAATACGTGCCATGGAGAAATATCTTAAAATAGAAATAAAGAGATATATCAAAATCGATATAAGATATAACACGTATGCTATACCTCATATCGACATGACGTTCCCTCATTATCATAAAGAATTGAATATGCCAGCAGAAGCAATATTAAGAAAGGGGGCCGTTTCTATGATATTACTGATACCATATAAGCCCACGCTACGATGCAACCATACATATGAGCCCATTGAAAATACCGGCAACTCTCATACGCCCACTATATTATTGGCACGGTTGTATATTCGTACTGATAGAATTACCGCTATAACATGATTTCTGAGTATAAGATAATACTGTGGTTTGCCACCGCCTGCCCAAAGGGCTATCAGTCATCAAACTATCGCCATTGCTGAATTACGAGGTGAAAAAAAAGGCAACGCCTTATGCCGTGCGGTCTTGCCATCGTGTATGGTTATCATATTCATTCATGTCAACACGAACAAAGGAACACATGGCGCTAATACCACCCAATCCGTCCAAAGAGGCCATCTAAAATAGCTTGCTTTCAAGCCTACAAGTGTAGACTGCTGATGTAATATTTAGCATTGCACAGCGCTATTCAGAAATGTGACCATACAATGCACAAGCGGCCTTTTGGCATCAATGCACGAGTGTCCAGTACACCCTTATGTAATTTTAGATTGCGAGGCGTTTTTGCAACATACAAATTCATCTCAAAGCCTAAAAATAGAGGGACGACCTACCTTGGTGGACACTAGTTGTGTAGATTGTTGCAGATGAGTTTTCCAGCGCTGAAAGCTTACGATAGCTATAAAGATAGGCGGTATGTATATGTCAGGCAATTATGCCGGCCGGCTTAGGCTTAACACATGCATGGCGGTTGACAGAATGGATCGATGACATCCTAGAAACGGCACCTGGTCTCCCGGTGGAGTGGGGTTACTAGACGGAACAGCTGTCGGCGGCCATCTTTGGTGCAGTACCCAGGTCAATCGTATGGTGTCGCTGCAACGAATACTGTACTCAAGACTACTACTACTATCCTTACGTCAATTAATGCCTAATTTGTTCGCCACTTTTTGCTACCAAACCTTAATCTAAGAAAGAAAACTCTATGTAAATGTTTACACGAGAAAAAATTAAATTTATTTATAGTTTTTCATATGATATAGGTATTTGTAAAGAATGTCTAGACGTGACAGCGAGTAAGTATCATGCATTCTCAAACGATCGCATTGCAAATTTATTAAAGCGCCAACCCTGGTGAAAATTTTAGTAATATCAAAGTATTCTATTGCCCTTAATCACCAAATAAACTATGTGAAACACAATCAAATGAAGATTTTTTCTGTCAAAATATTTAATTTTTTTGGCGCAAAAATGTTACAAAATGTCCCTTTCAATACCAAACACGCAAGAGGTGTTATATTTGTCTGCTAACTGTATGTTTCACTAATGGAGGTTTTAAGACAAATCATTATGCGTGCGTGCCGCAAGGCATGTAACCTTCTTGGTTTTACAAAGGTTAAATAAAGAACCGTCATTGACTTGCGAATGTCTATCCAACACAGAAATTATTAAAAGTTCGCATGTGTTCAATATCACAATATGGCAAAAATTAAACCGGTTCTCCCAGTTTTATTTTTCTATTGAAAAAAGAATGTGGATATTCGACTGAAAACATTTACTCAGAAATAAGTTCCGTGTGTCGTTATAGAAAAAAATATCCACTGTATAAAATATTTTTTACAGCACGAAAAGTATCAAAATCGTCAAAGTTTTACATACAGACAGACAGGCACCGTAGGCTCCCCGGTGTCTCTACGGTACTGGGAGTACTGTCCGCCCGCCCAGGCCCATTACAGCACACGGCGGGGTATTATATGGGGTCAGTAGTTCGCCTACAGGACGACAATAATTAGAAGGGCCGGCTGGAAAGATCTAGCATGTCAACATACAGTATGCCTAAAGTAGGGCTGGGAATAAAATACGGGCCACGTACAAAGCAGGCCTGTGGAGATGCATGGTAACCAGACTAAGAATCATTCAATGTATAGAAGAGTAGGTACTGTACCTTATAGATGCTATACGTCACAAATGATATACACCGTCAGTTGGGCAACGATCTAGAGCAGGGCTATTATAAGGTAGTCACTCGGAGCGTTACTATAAATCAGATCCCGGCAAAATCCCCGGCAGCTTTTTTTTTTTTTGCATGGTAGCTCCTGGTAAACTCTGGTTAGGCCTAGGAAAATTAATGTTGTGTTTTGGGTCTTAGTCCTGAAATAATTACCAGGTAGGTAGGGATCGAATTTTCTTTTTAAAGTTTTTTTTCTCAGATTTCGGTTAAAAATGGTCCAACAAATGCATCGGGACTGTCTCAATGACCTCAGATTTGCTTGTGGACAAATTTTCACCCGATTTACTGGAGAAAAATTGCGTCTGAACTGAATGCGTTAAAATGACGTTTCTGATTTTTCAGGGTTTGAAATTCAGATGCCAGATCGAATTTCTATAGCCTATCAAAATAAGGCTAGGGAATAATCTCCAAGCAGATCCGTTGGTGGCGAGCTAAACTCATATGGCTAATGGGTACTGTATTACCACCTATAGGGATCTGCTTGGAGATTACTAGGGAAGGCTGTTTTTCTAGGGTCGGCCGGAAAACAGGAAACACAACATTTTTTTCCTAGGCCTTACCAGGTCATACTGCGGACAAGAAGATCCCTAGAGGCAGTCGACCCCGAGTTCTTTAATTTGCAAATCAACCAGATTTAACAAAAGAGTTTTCCTCGATTTAACGTGACGGGTCAAACTTGTGTCATTTTTTGTTTGCACAGTTCACAATAGTTGTTCCCTTGTTGCTAGGCGATTTGATCAAGTTAAGGAAAAATTTGTATCAAAGGCCAATGAAGTAGAAGAAACCATTTCTTTTAACTTCTTTGCTTTGAGTCTTGACAAGGTCAGAAAATTAGTATGAATACCAAAGCTTCCTTTCAATAAGTCTTGGTAGAGATATTCAATGACTGCATGATATGATTAACAAAACCTAATGAAATTGAACCTGTAGATTGACCTTGTGTTAATACACCTGTTTTATCGTTACATGTAACTTAGTTGTAAACTTGTGGAGAAGTTCAAACAATAAAGAAATAAACTTCCCCAAATTATTAATCGTATTTGCCTATTTAGTCTATTTTTTTGTTCGATGAAAGCAATTGTAGATGGATATTATTTGGCCAAATTATTGGTTGGAATAATTTTGTGAGATGGAGGGAGACAGCTGAGTGAATCGGTGCAACCTACTTGCTAAAGTTGGCCACTGCGCGGAAGGATTTAGGGTTACATAATCGAGGGGTGTGTTGAGGGCTGGCCTCTTCAGCTTGAGAGCTAGTTTTATTTTTGACAGTGGCTTATACTAGTGGAAAAATAGTTGTTTTTTGTTGAATATAGGTCAGAAAACTTTTAACAGCATGTTTTCTGCCTATTATTTATCGATTAGATACTTGATACCCTAACCAATGACATTCTAACAGTACGACTGTCACGTGTCTTTGTTTACTAGTTCAAACTAGTTCTGACCAGCACCGCAACAAAACGCTACAAAAATATATACACTTCTGCAAAAAGAACAACCACAGAAAAGACCAATACTGCCAATATAGTACGGATAAGTAATTCTATAACATCATAATCTCAAGAATCAGTTAGTATATTGTTTTTTTTTATAGAAATATATGAAGTTCTAATAATTTTTGTCCTCCACGTTTGGCTGCATACCGTTCAAAACAACAAGAGAAGTTGGGAAGAGTCCAGAAGGTGAGTCCAGAAAACCTCGATAATTTCTGCCCAATTTATGATTCTAAAACCTAAATCGGACACGATCTAGATTCCTCATAGTCTATAGATCATACAAGGCCGGTAGTTGAAGATATTTTAGGTCAGTTTTCAGTGTTTTTGTCCCGAAAAATAGGTTAACACGTAAGAATAGAAATGGCGGGCATTTGGGCCAAGGGCAAGGGGAGTGGCGTATGGGACGTGCCTGTACCAAAAAATGCTAATATTTCCCGATTTATACCAGATTTTTTTACTTTCTTACGCCTGAATGATGCCAGAGTTGCTTTACAGGATATAGAAAACAATTATTGTGGGCACAAACTGTCTTGTTTTGTCGTTATCCCAAGTTGTTTACGTGTCCCCATGCATCCTAAGTTACTATATATTGATTCAGTGCTATTTATAAAGTTAGCTGGTACATGAATATAGGTCAGTGGATTAGTACAATTACATAGCTCATTTTTTAGAAACAAATTTACAGTAAGTCACTCCAATTTAAATGAAATCCCAAGTCTTGGGATTTTTGTAGAAAATTTCAACTTTTGAGCAGGCCAGACCCCAGCTCAAAATGATACTGTTATAACGTGTTAAAAAATGATTTTTTATTACGATTTCCTCAGCCAGCAACCCCAATATGCCCCGCTCCGAAGTTAGCACCCAACCTCAAATTATCTCTTGAGCTGTGTCAGAGATAGATTAGGGGCAGGGTGAGGCATGTGGCAAATTCCCCAGTCAAAGACTGAAAGAGGTTAAGTATTGCCTTGCAAATGCACTGTGGGCAGGCTTTGATCAAATTTTTCCTATATCTTCCTTTCGTAATTGTACATTACCTCGAAGGCTGGTGTATGTACGATCTGAACATACGTTCTTGACATATCCGATATGTCAAGTCAGACGGATTTACACGCTGGAAAAATTCTACTCACACATGTTTCGTACGCTTGTGTGCGTACACAGTTTTCATACCGCCAGGTTTTTGCCTTCTGTGTAAATTGGGTCCAATCCTTAATGCCAGGTGCAGTTTGCTCCACTGATCACTCCCACACAGAATATTTAAAAACATCCTATTTACATTGTGCCTATGTACACCACACTTGAAACCTACACTCTAGTTCCACTTACATATTGATTATTCCATGTTACATCCATGAGCGGTGGGGTCGTGTGGCTGCAGCATGTTTGGCTCAGGACCAAGAGGTCCCGGGTTCGAATCCCACCCTGTCACCGATCTTGTGCCCCTGGGGAAGGCACTTCACATTACTTTCCTCACTCCACCCAGGTGTAAAATGGGTACATGACTTCGGTTAGGGAGGTAAAAGACGGTGGAAGGAGAGGGATGGCCACCACCTTCCAATACCGTGCCCAAGAGACAGTTGATCGTTAATCCACTGCCCCTACAGCCTGAAAAAGGCTATGGGACTACATTTACCTTTACCTTTACATCCATGCCTCCAGCCACCATGCCGGTTGAGCTGGTACTGCAGAACTTCATCGATGGCCAGTTTGTGGGGACAGAGAACCACATCGACAGTTATAACCCGTCCACGGGCGAGGTGTACGCCAAGGTGCCGGACAGTGGGGAGGCAGAGGTGAACGCTGCTGTACACGCTGCTAAAGAGGCATTCCCAGGGTAGGAAGTCATGTTGTTACTTACTAACTTTAAGATACATGTAGGGAGACATTGTCCAGGTTAACGACCCTTCCTCTGGACCAAGAGGTTGGGAGTTCGAATCCATCTGTTGTCGGCTTGTCGCTCACCTGACATGCACACTACTGTAAAGGGTTGCAGTCCTTAAAGGACAAGACATTAACCTGTGGTCCATTATATTGTTCGTTGTGCTTGTCGAAAAGAACTACGGAGAATTTCCCTGGCACAATGAACCTGTAAATATTGTGCATAGCATCTGTCTTATTTGTCATGACCAGTGGGAGATTAGCTCTTCAGTGAGCTAAAACTGGATCGAAATCATTTCCCTTTCTTGACATAAGGTTCTTTATTCCACAACCAACTTGAGTTTTCATATCTGACATTTCAGTGACTCTGCCACCGTCTTCAGAGCAAAAATAACTGACTTACATTTCCCCTTGCTGTCCTACAGATGGTCAGAAACCCCCGCAGCAGAGCGCTCCAGGATCATGAACCGGATCGCTGACCTGATCGAGAGCCATCTGGAGGAGTTTGCGCAGGCTGAGTCACGTGACCAGGGCAAGCCCGTCTCGCTGGCGCGGACCGTGGACATCCCGCGTGCCGTCTACAACTTCCGATTCTTTGCCACGACCATTCTCCACACGACAGACAGGTTTGTAGAGAGGAGTGGTTGCTTTATACAGGGTGGGTTGCACAGTACCTACGGGATATATGTATACGGTAATAGGTTTATTCAAGTAAGTAGTGGTAAAAAGTTACAATCACCGAATAGTAGAACAACATGTAAGATAACATTTTATTCAACTCATTTGCACAATATATATATGTACTTCATTTACAAGAAATGGCCATAGTTTGTAAATACATTCTCTATTGACTCGACAAAAGTACAGGGACTTTTGTATGGTCTATTAGTATCGTTACTAAGATCAACAAACACTTAATTGTTTTACTTTAATTTCCATAGAAGTTGTCATTTGGTTGTTGAGTGAGGTGTAGATGCCCTAAGGGACCAAAGAAAAGTGGTTGCTGGTTGGGTAAAACAGTTGCTTTGAGTCTAACTATATAAAATTGGATAACACTGTTTTAATGTAGTTAAGTGACTGACTTTGTAAAATGATTGACATTGACTGAAGAAAGGCTCTTATCTTTACTTCATCCATAGCTCCACCTACTTGGACAACATGCAGGCAACCAACTACACAATCCGTACTCCGCTGGGCGTGGCAGGGCTGATCAGCCCATGGAACCTGCCGCTATACCTCCTGACATGGAAGATTGCGCCCGCCATCGCCTGCGGGAACACCGTTGTGTGTAAGCCCAGCGAGATGACCTCCGTGACGGCCTGGATGATGTGTCGGCTACTAAACGATGCAGGTCAGTTTGGAAATCTGCTTCATAGACTTACAATTAGGGCTGTCAGTTTTAGAAATACTTTTTTCAGTGTGCTGCAACATTGCAGAATGTCAACATTTTGTGCTGCAATTCAGAAATACCTTCTGCAAATACACACTTAAAAGTCTGTATCTAGACCCATGGCAAAATAGAGTCAGTAGTAAACACAAAATCTCCTAAATACCATTGAACCTAAATACCACTGATTTTTTTCTGTGTGCAAAATTACATGTTGCTTAATTTTTCTTCTGCAGTATTGAAATGTGCAAAATGCACACTGCAGATGGGTATTTCTAACACTGAAGTGTGTACCTAGTACCTTTACCTGTGGCTGTATACAGGTCTTAGGAAGGCCCATAGGTACACTTAGCATTTTTTATTCCACTTTGTATTTTCTATGGGTACTTTGTATTTTCTATGGGCACTTTGTATTTTCTATGGGCACTTTGTATTTTCTATGGGCACTTTGTATTTTCTATGGGCACTTTGTATTTTCTATGGGCACTTTGTATTTTCTATGGGTACTGTGTTTTTTTCTGTGTGTACTTCGCGAAGTTTTTTTGGTGGCTGGCGAAGCGACATTCATTTTGCTTTGATGTGGATGCTCCCATTTTTATTATGGCGGTATATTTCTATTTACCATTCTAGGCAACTAAATTTATTTTAAACCTATTAAAACATAATATACTTTACACTTTGAGAAAATTTTGTTTGTTTTGCATGCAATGTTCCACACGTTTCTTAATTAGGAGTATCAAATAGTGATTATTACATCCTGGCATAGATTATGTTAATGTAGACACAGGACCATACTATTTTCGGGGGTGCTAGGACATATTGTTCAGACTTCCGTCAACATTTCCGTAGCGATATATGGTAAATCACTTCCTCGCTGAATGTTAATTACTCCTTTGTATTAAAAAAAGCCCGTAATCTAAAGCGAGGGTTCATTGCCAATGTTGGGGAAAAATTGCATTGCGGTTTGCTGCCCTCCTACCAACCGCGAACGTTCATCACATGCAGTTTACGCAGGAAATATGGACAATATGCCGTTTCAGTAAATAACCTGACATCTAAAATTGTTGAAATATTCACAGAAACTCAAATTACACTCTAGGTTGACCGTCTAATCGTGTGGTAAGCTACATGTGTGCTGTAGTGACATGAATTGGCACTTTTGTGGGGAGGGGGGCGTCCCAACAAAGGTCAACGACCTCCATGGCTTACGGCCTATGTTTCACGCTTTTGCACTTCATAAATGAACAATTTTAGATGTCAGGTTATTTACTGAAACGGCATATTGTCCACATTTCCTGCGTAAACTGCATGTGATGAACGTTCGCGGTTGGTAGGAGGGCAGCAAACCGCAATGCAATTTTTCCCCAACATTGGCAATGAACCCTCGCTTTAGATTACGGGCTTTTTTAATACAAAGGAGTAATTTACATTCAGCGAGGAAGTGATTTACCATATATCGCTACGGAAATGTTGACGGAAGTCTGAACAATATGTCCTAGCACCCCCGAAAATAGTATGGTCCTGTTTCTACATTAACATAATCTATGCCAGGATGTAATAATCACTATTTGATACTTCTAATTAATAAACGTGTGGAACATTGCATGCAAAACAAACAAAATTTTCTTAAAGTGTAAAGTATATTATGTTTTAATAGGTTCAAAATAAATTTAGTTGCCTGGAATGGTAAACAGAAATATACCGCCCATAATAAAAATGGGAGCATCCACATCAAAGCAAAAATGAATGTCGCTTCGCCAGCCACCAAAAAAACTTCGCGAAGTACACACAGAAAAAAACAAGTACCCATAGAAAATACAAAGTGCCCATAGAAAATACAAAGTGCCCATAGAAAATACAAAGTGCCCATAGAAAATACAAAGTGCCCATAGAAAATACAAAGTGCCCATAGAAAATACAAAGTGCCCATAGAAAATACAAAGTGCCCATAGAAAATACAAAGTGCCCATAGAAAATACAAAGTGGAATAAAAAATGCTAAGTGTACCTATGGGCCTTCGTAAGGTCTGGACCTGAACATCTAGTAACAGTCAAGTCAATATCAGAAAAGATTTCCTCATCCAGACTTTTTTTTCGCCGTCCTGAAATTGCATTGGACTACATGTATGTTTTGTTTTAATGACGTGCTGCATTGTACTACATGTAGTAGCATTGTACTAGAAGATTTTCTTAATGTTTATTTGTACATACTTAGGACTTCCTCAAGGAGTGGTGAATGTTGTGTTTGGATACGGACCGAAAGCTGGCGAGGCGATCGTCAAACATCCAGACGTTCCTCTCGTCTCTTTCACGGGCAGTACGCTCGTCGGACAGCGAATCACGGAGCAGAGCGCCCCGCAGTGCAAAAAACTCTCTCTGGAGGTAATACAGACGTTACACGCTATCTGTGTTGTGTGTTGTCAAACTGTGATGTTGGGTGGTTTGGTGGCTGGTACTTTAAACTATGGTTTTCAGAGAAGCTTTCCTAAAGTTTGTCTTCTTGCACAACTGTGTTGTTTTTAAACTACTCGTCATCAGAAAACAAAAAGAATAACAGTAAAAAGATTGCAGGAATATAGTTTATAAAAGAATGAAAATTATCTTGTTCCTCATAGACTCTTTGCAGCATTAAACTAAATTGAACTAATGTGCACTGTTGTTCATTTGCTAATAGTTTACTCTGTCAAAGCTCTAAAATACTGCTTTGTCTTTCAAGCTCATTCTTCCACCACCAGACCCCTTATAAGAATCAACATTGATAGGTGCATCCAAGATATTGATAGATACTGGGCTGTTTCAAAAAATAAAGGTAGAGGGGGGAAGAGGCTGGATTGGATAGTAGGTTTAAGCATATCTGGATTGGAACTAGGGAAGGAATGAAACTTGAATTTGTTCCTCCTGGACCCTCCACCCCCCTCTATCATTATTTTTTGGAACAGCCCATTATAATGTCTGAGGCTTGTTGAGGTTGAAACTGCCCGTGCCATTCAACAGAACCAGCAGTTTGCCTTGGTATAGGCCAAGCATTAAATCTTTATCAAGTACTTCTGGCATGTAATTTCATTATTTCGAAGTACAAGATCATATTCTACTGACTTACTTAAATGCAAGGAAATGATATGAAATTCTGAGACTTTCTGAAATGGACAAACACTACTCTGGTAGATACATGCACTTGTATATATTTCCTTTAAAAAATTGTGTGTAAAATGTAAAAGAAATTTCCAAAAAATGTTTGAAAAAAAATTTCCTAAAAAATTTTGAAAAAACTAAAAAAACTAAAAAAAAAATTTCAAACATAACAGTTATAAAGAACATAAAAACAAGCAAGCCTCAGAATAAGAACTGAATGCATTTATCAAGTACATGACAAATAGTATGCAAAAAATAAGTTGTTTGGGACATACTCTAAGTCAAGTCTAAACTTGTTCCTTTTTTGTTTTGTCTTTGCCTGTCTGAGTAGCTTGGTGGTAAGAACCCATGCATCATATTTGCGGATGCAGATATGGAGAAATGTATCCCTACTGTGGTGAGGTAAGCCTGTATGGTGGGTAAGGATTGCCATGAGTTTGTGGCTCAAACACGTTTGCTACTACTTTTTTTTTCTGTTTGACACTTTTTGCAGCTTCCTCTCGAAGGGCTGAGACTTTCATAGGAGAATTCTGGTGATAGTGATGCAAACCGGTTCACTGGACTTGGATCCGGACTTGTAAGAATGTTTAGGTTCAAGTCCAAAAAAACCTAAAAGTCAAGAACCGAGTCCAGATTTATTACCATAAAAGACCATTTCACATACCACTTTTCTTTCCAAACCACCTAAAACCTTCCGTAGATTGTAAAATCTTTGCTGCAAAATGAAGAAAACATTGCCATCGGGCATTGTCCAGTACCGGCCTCCATATTATGTGGCCAAAGTTTCACCCAGGCAACATTGCAAGGTTGCCAACATGCAATTTTGTATATGCCATGGATTTACAAATGTAGGTCTGGACTTACAAGTCCGGAACTGAACCTAAACCTCTGGACTTGAATCCAGACCTGAACCTAAATGTGGGTTTAGGTATGCACCACTATCTGGTGACACTCGTGTCAAGAAATGGCATAAATTCCATGCCAAGGCATTCCCCCTCTTTAGTGTCATGAAAATTTCTAAAGATTACCCCAAATAAAGATTTAGAAAATTTTTTCCTTTATCTTATTTGTCCCATACAATTGTTAATTTAACCTTCTCCCTGCTGCCCAACCCTGTAACGAATACAAATTTGGTAATGAATAGCTACCTTAGCAGGTTGAAGGTTAAACAATGTATAGCTGGGTTTAAAAGAATATTGAACACTGTTAGCATGTTTGTGATTGGACAAAAGACAATTGGCTTTTAATTGGATTAAAGATTTTCATGTCACAGATAGGAGGGGGAATGCTTAGAAGTGCAAGGAAATTTATTCATGAGATGTCACAAAATTTGGTGCCAAACTTTCTCTTCCAGGGCTCGAAATACTGGTCTGCAACCTGCAATTTGCAAAACTATCTAGATTGTACTAGATAGATATATTAATAATAAGAAACTTTTTTAAAAATCGTCAATCATATTACTGGCTTTAAGTATGTAGATACTATACTGCTCAAGCTTTAAAAGGTGTCTACATGATAAGGGACTGTACTATTGAGCTTGTAAATGATAATTTTTCATAGCAATTCACTTCAAGATGGAAATTACATTATCAAGAAGTAGAAATTTAGTAGTCTGACAAGGCTTTAAGTGTTGTCAGGCAGGAAAATCAGTTAAGATATTTTCAGAGATTTACTAAATTTCTGACAAGTTGCAATGTTGCAGGTAATAGAAATTATTTTGAGCCCTGTCTCCTCAATTTAGTGAACACAGCCCTACAAGATTCAATATGCATTTAAAGACATTACAATGTAGAGCTACTCAACCAAAGTTTCATTCAAAAACCAGTAACCAACTTTCTCCATTGCAATCCAAGGATCTTTTTCAGAATTTTTTAACTGAAAGTGCTTTCAGTGTGATTTCAGTTAACACTTTTAACCTAGAATCTTGTGGAGTGATGTTCACTTTTCTGTTTTTCTCACAGGTATACATAGTTTGCGATTTGCCACACAATTTCTATTTTACAGAGAAAATACATACATGTAAAATTTCTTATTTAGATTTGGTCTGCGCATGCTGGTGAGAGCTTAACAGTCCAAGGGCCAGTACCCTAATTTATACTTTATTCATTCTTACAGAATCATCAAACAATTTCTTGCCATTATGTCTTTCTCCTGTTCAGAGTCAGCTATGGACATAGGTTTTGTGAGAATTTCCTTCCCTACTTGTGAATTTTGTACGGCTATCCCAAAAATGATCTCAGTTTGCAATTGTATGTTGAATGTGACCAAGCCCTATTTCACACTAGAAATTCTAAGTCCTCTATAAGTTTTTAAATTTTTGTTTTGTTTTGCAGCGCATTGAATACCTTTTCAAAATGTTAGCAATTCTGCATTCATATTCTTTTGCCTTAGAATTCTTTTTGCTTTTCTGAAAGGAACAACCGATAAGAAAATGACAACTGTCCATAACTGAACTGTGCATCAGAAGTTTTGTCATAGAATGACGCATATTGCTACTAAACAATTACAGAGGTTAGCATTACAAGTTGGGAGCTTCGGGAAGAAGCAAGCACCAGGACTAAAAGAGCATGGCGTTACATACCCCCAGTCTGAAACAAAGTTTGACCAAGGCTGCATTTTTGCAAGGAAATCCTTCCATTTTCTTGATCTACAAGTTTCATATTAATTGAAAACCTAGATCTTATACATTTTGGCATCCTCCAAATCATGTCATGGTTTTCTACTATTAAAAATATTGTTTTTTAATGTAAAGCAAAAAAAAAAACGTGTATAAGGGATGTGACAATGGAAGGATTTTCAGTTTGATTTTTACAGGGAATTTATATGCATTCATGATTTCTGATATTGAAATAACACAAAGCGTCAGACTCTGTTACAGAGGGGTGTCATCTGGTGCACATAACAGGTATGAGGGTTCTGTTGTTTTTTCATATGTATCACGATTGTGTTGTCTAATGCCGCGACGTCTGGATTTGCGCAGGTCTAGCTTCGCCAACCAGGGGGAGGTCTGCCTCTGTAGCAGCCGAATCTTCGTGCAGAGGAGTGTGTACGAACAGTTTCTCCAGAAGTTCGTGGATGCAACCAGGTAAGGAAATAATATCCAAACATTTGTAAATTTTTCTGATTGAGGTAATTATATTTATCGAAGGAAGACTCATTGTTTTTGCTCTGTTTCCTCTTCTTCTCCAAATTAGTAAATAAGGTCAATGACCTGAACCAGACATCTGTTACCATGGTAACTAGTGTTGGGTTACATCATGTTGCAATTTTATAGCAGGAGGGATTTAGACTTCATAGATATGAATGTGTTTGACTAAGAATTAACAGAGCAGACCATGTGCAAAGGTTAACATTATGCATTTGCTTAGCAAATGTTACCTTTCTAGTTTTCTGTGTTGTTTTTGGACCATGTAGTCCAATGATTTTACCATTTAATTCCATAGGAAGATACAGGTAGGGAACCCAGGCGACCCTATGACTACGATGGGAGCTCTGATCAGTAAGGAACACCTGAACAAGGTGAAAGGCTACGTCAACCTGGCTTACGAGGAAGGTGCCACTATCCTGTGTGGGGAGGGGAAAGAAGACCTCAAGCTTTCGGATGACCTGAAAAATGTAAGTTAGACTTAAAGTACCCGATACATGTAGTTGGCATTAATGATATTCAGTGAATATGCTTGAGTGTAAATATTTTGAATTGAAAAAAAAAAATAATGATCTGGAATCTGAAATGAACTCTTCCACTGGTCATGACAGAGAGGACAGAAACAGTAATTACAGCTTCATTGTACCGGAGGAATTTTCTATGATAAGTACAAACAAGGGAAATCGTAGATTTCAAACCTCCGGGTTTTTTTGTGTTCTATTGGTTTAGGTTATTTGTTTGTGTGTAGTATGAAAGTTATGTGCGTAATATGTTTGTATGTGTTTGATGGCTACTGACGGTTGGTTCGGTATGGACTGTTGATTAACGTGTCTCACAGTCTGACAGCCTGCACCGTCACCCGCGCCATTACCCCCGCCGTCATCCCGCGCCGTCATTGCTGCGCCGTCACCCAAAATTTTTATCGGAACCAGACACCCCTCTGTTTGACCCCTTTTGAATGCTAAGACCCAAAACTGCAACCGCCCCATTCCTTAACAACATGGTAATTACCATTTTCAGCATGGCGGGGGTGTCGGGAGCACTTAAAAACCTTTTATTTCGACGCCCATAAACACATATGCAATTAAACAAAAACGTTCTGCATCATCTGCAGCCCAATAGCAATACGTATACCGAACCACAGACAAATCCGTCCAGCCGATCGCGAGAAACAGCTGCTGACAGAAATGTTTCGAACCATAGTAAAACCTCCTCGCAGAAGGATATCTCCTTCCCCGGAGGTAATGAACAGTAGACCACTTACTCAGAGTCTGACTAAGGACTGTGCCAATTTTCGTGTATCATGCATGTTGGGTGAGCAACGCTTCTGGGATACAAACTCATGACGTCTTGGTTCAGGGGCAGGGCCACTATAACCACAAAACACAAGTCGTTACATGTACATTGAACAGATTTTTAATGCAACAGTGTACATCTAAAAGTTCTGCATTGCTTTTACTGCAGAAGCTCATTACAAATAGGTTACTCTTTGACCCATGAGTGATTGATTATCACCTGTTAATGATGAGTTAATGATATTTTGCAGGGTTACTACATGCTGCCCACAGTGATCACAGATGTGAAAGACAGTTCACGCTGTATGCAGGAGGAGATATTTGGACCTGTCACCTGTGTCGTACCCTTTGACACAGAAGATGAAGTAAGAAAAAATTGTTTAATTTTAATTTTTTTTTGGTTTAATTTTATTGATAACATCCACGCAAGTAAATTGATTTTCGAAAATTCTAAAAAAAATGACCTCTGAGGCTCTGGCTTGGGTGCCATCCTCCGTAGTCCATGGTAGCTAGCGACAATAGGGAGCCTGCGGTAACTACGGAGGATGGCACCCAGGCTTCTGAAGCTCCACAAAACTCAAGAATTCCGTACAGTGGCGACTCATAACTGCCGCAAAAGGCCAGCATGTGCCAGCTTGTCGTAAAAGTAGTAATGTACATTCAAAGGTAAAAAAGGGATGTGCCTGACTAAACAAATACTGAGACATTTCCAGATGTTCTTGTATGTGGTAAAATGCTAAGTTGTGTTTCTAATTAACAGGTTATCATTCGTGCCAACAATGTAAAGTACGGCCTGTCAGCAAGTCTGTGGACCCAGGATGTATCTCGGACCATGCGTATGAGCAGGAAACTGGAGGTACATTCAGCCTGACTACATCATGCTTCTGGCAGCTCTTCCACTAGTCAAACCTCTAGAAGCTTTATGGCTAACATCTCTAAGTCAGCAGAATTGAGAATGTCATAATCCTGCATATACTGAGTGTATACACCAAATATTGTCAAACTGACAAATTTCTGTTACCATATAGTGTTGGACGCTGTGATGACTGGTTTCCTGGGCTCCTATTGGACAGATTTGCATAGTGATAATGAATCCTGGGCTCCTATTGGACAGATTTGCATAGTGATAAAAAAACTCATAATGAATCCTGGGCTCCTATTGGACAGATTTGCATAGTGATAATGAATCCTGGGCTCCTATTGGACAGATTTGCATAGTGGTAATGAATCATGAGCTCCTATTGGTAGTTCTGGGAATAGTTCTCTTGAGTTAGAGGTGCACAGTCACAAGTTTGGGGGAGGAAGTCGAATCAGTCACACGGTAATGTTTCAGGTATATGATATATTACTAACTGTGTTCCATGGATTCTTTCTTTAACACCCGTAGGCTGGGACCATCTGGACCAACTGTTGGATGGTACGGGACCTCAACATGCCATTTGGGGGCATGAAGTCTTCCGGAGTTGGGCGTGAAGGACTCAAAGATTCTGTAGACTTCTTCACAGAGGAGAAGACCGTCTGCATCAAGCACTAGGTAGTGGTAGTGACATAAAAAAAGTCTTATCTGAAGCTCTATATGAAAAACTGCGAATTATGAAATGCTGGTGGTTTTATGGTCAGTTTTCGTGGTGACCTTTCACCTGGAAGCGATCATGCAGCGGACATATCGTCAGCTTTGTATTGTGTTACTATGGTAACCACAAATTTGGAAACACCAGAAACATGCCATTTCCCCACCTACTGCTAGCTAGGTTAAGTGCCCAGTTACTTTACATTAAGTAAAGATGCAGGAGAACCTAAAACAGTATTTGATTTGAGAAATCCTGATATTTTATTTGAATTACATGTACATGTACATGAACTGATACATTTACATGTATGTGTGTATAATTGATGTTGCTTTAAGTTTATTTTGTATGAGATGTCAATGTTATCAGAAGGAGAAATTTTGTTTCACATTGTATTCCAAAATGTTTGGATTGTGAGTTACATGGAAATAACAATTCCCATCAAAATCTCTTTAAATGTGGATAAAACATGTCAAAGTATTAAAATAGTTAACCTTTGCCTTAGATACATGTATATTACTAAAAGAACTATATTAATGACTTAAAGTTAAATGTAAAAAAAAAAAGATAAAATAACAAACTGATGTTCACTGCTTGTAAAGTTACAATGGACGGAAAATTGAAAATGGATTCCAACAACATTCATGTCTATTTTGCCTCTTTTAAAACTTAAATCCTTATCCCCTGAACTTTGCATATTTACTTTACATAATTAAAATAGGATAGAGGCAAACAGCAGGCTGCTATCAAGCCTCAGCATCAGAGTGTAAGCACGTCTAACCCTTGGAAACAACAGGCGATAAACTGGTAGTGAGTGAGGAAATTATACATGATAATAAATAATTCACAATGTCATGTACAGCGCGCACAATGTACATGTACATAAGTTGGTATCCACAGCGTTTCGCACAGGCACAGTACATTCTGTCGACATGCTTAGTCTTCTCTAGGTGTAACCAACCACTTAATGTAGTATTCACATATTTAAGGATGACATTCTGTCCATAGTTATAAAAAGTGTCGAAAAATAAATGCAACGTTGACTAAACTTCCAGCGAATACCAGGAAAAATCTAGGTTTTGTGCAGGAGCAGTACATTTTGTCGACATACTAACTCTTCTAGGTGTAACCAACCAAGATGGCGGCTGTGACGTCACACATCCCCACCCCCATTGGATGGTTACTGTTTAAAATTGCATTGCGACCCTCTTTGAGCTGTAGGGCCTTACGCAGGGGCGGGGGATGGCCAACGGCTCCGCGTCCCTCAAATTCACGTCTCTGGGTGATACTTGTATCTTTCTGATGTCACCACGACTCTTTTGCCCTGGGAACGAGTTTGCAGGCGGTAGCTTCTGGGGACGAGGTCTGCTGCAAAAGAAGAGGTAACAAGGCCATCAAGCGGTTTGAATGTGGTCAGAGGCTTTTTTTAGCCCATATCACACATTCACGACCCTCCAGCAAATTTGTTTCTGAACAAGAGCCGTTTCTATATGAATCAAACAGAATTCAAGATAAATTTCAGTCAAATTTTACCCCCGAACACTAGCAACTGCTAACTTCAATAATACTAATAAGGCCACACCAATTTAATTTGTTGGTTCTCGGATTCGCCTCTTCATTTTTTTCTGATTTGCAAAAAAAAAAAAAGATTCTGGTTCTGAATCAACTAAAAGAATGCTCATATTTTGCCCCCAACAGTTGTGGAAAGTCCTTTTCTTCCTAGCTGTTGCAGTGTTTCCATCTATCAATGCAGTGGTTTGATTAAAAGTTCAAAATTCATTGTTTAAATATTAACACAACCTTTTGTGTTGACTTCATGGCTCCTATCATAGCATTTGGGGCTATAATAGGATGCCTAAACCTGTTTTTATTTTTCGCCCTGTCGCTTCATGTTTTTTCTGACAAAATCCGAGAACCAACAAATTGAATTGGTGTGGCCTAAGTTCTAAATGCACAACCACTTCCGCTCTTGTGCTATTTGTTGATTATACATATACTGAGTGACCCAAAATAACAATAAATAAGAAATGCGGATAATTATTTAAATAAGCTTTGAACAGGGTTTTTCCTGGCTTTTCAAAGTAAATGCATCAGTTTGACATACCCAATGGCGGAGTCACGTTGAGTAAGTATCAATTCCTCTTCACTGTCAACCCTTCGAAGAAAGATGAATATGTGTCAAAACAAAGCAAAACTAGAAAGGTAACATTTGCAAAGCAAATGCATTATGTTTACCTTCACAATTGGTCTAGTCTAACTGTGGTATGTGGTGAGCAGCCACTCCAACTCTGCCCTGCTACATTATGTAACCCAACACCACAAAGTGTCTGCTACAGCACCAGTTACCATGGTGACAGACGTCTGGTCCAGGTCATTGACTTTTTTGTTTGGAGAAGAAAAGGAGAAAACGGAGCAAAAACAATTATGTTTGAAAATTTCCTTCTGCGAAGGTAGACATAAAAATGTATCTGAATATTAAATGTATGAAAATCACCATAACATATTATCATAGATTGCTGATAATATAAAAATGCAATTTTCACCTTCTGCGCTTTTTCCAAGTCTTGAACAGGCAGTAGCAGAGTGCTATGAGGCAGATGAGGAGGAGTAAGCTGCCCACGGCCACGGCTGTCAAGAAGGCGATCCAGCCTACGTCAAATATGGAGAGGAAATCCGTTCCTCCCTCTGCTCCCGGTTTTGTTACTGTATCATCAACTGTCACTTTGTCCCATCCGGCTGTTTCAGTCACAAGTTGAGGCAGTTTTGTCGTAGGCAATTCTGTAGCAAACCGGGGTATAAAAAAAGGAACTTGTATATGGTTGACGTCACACTTCAGAGAAGCCACGTGACAAGCCTCACTGGGTCAGTCTACTGAGGAAGACCAGAGTGGCAGGTCGAAAGCTCTAGGTAAGAGAACTTCTTTGTGTTGCAATTTAAGTTTGAACTTTGAGCATGTAACTTGTATATGGCTGTGCTCAATCTGTCCCAGAGAGAGAAAGTCATTAATCACTTCTACATCTGGAAGAGCTCGCTGTTTTCACAGGTGTTTTTTGTTACATGACCTCCTTGACAACTGACAGCTGATGTTTCATTTTGCACATCAGGCAATTCTGCTATCGAGGCAAGCAAATGATGTGTTACAAAGACTCGCAATGCAATGTATAACAACGTGTTCTGTACTTGCCGTTTTCACATGCAGTTCCGTTAAAACCCGCTAGGCAACGGCAGGTGTATCCGTTGATGCCGTCGATACAAGTCCCCCCATTCAGACAAGGCAGTGATAGACATTCGTCAGTCTCTGTTTTAACAAAAAAAAATTAAAAAACATCCATAAATGATGAATTCTAAAAGATAAAATATTCCTTCTATGCCCTGCTCTAATAATGATAACTTGGGATTTGGAAATACTGGAGTGATCAGTATATATGTTAACGAAATAACCCACCTATCCCACATTTCGAATCAGTGTACCCTGGTGCGCATGTGCAAGTGAAGCCATTGACTCCATCAATGCAGGTGCCGCCATTTTGACATGGACCGGACAGACATTCGTCAGTATCTGTTGGGAAGATATGCATTCACCAAAGAGGCAACCATTGTCACAAAAACTGGTACGAACATATCCATTTAAGAAAAGAAAGTAGATTCAATTTTATTTACTAGTAGTATGACGTACCTATCCCACAGGTCTCGCCGATGTACCCTGGTGCGCATGTGCAAGTGTAGCCGTTTATGCCATCAATGCAGGTTCCGCCATTTTGACATGGACCGGACAGACACTCGTCAATATCTGTGAACAACACATTTATTCAACGAAGAGGCAACCATTGTCACAAAATTGGTTCAAAGAAATGTATTTGATAGATAAAATTAAACGGACAGACATTCGTCAATATCTGTTGACAAGACAACCACTCAGTCAACAGACAAACCAATATCTAATAAGCTAATATCTTTTTAAAGAAAATAAACTTTCTTTGCGACATACCTGTACCACATGTCAGACCGCTGTACCCTAGTGTGCATGTGCAAGTGAAGCCATTGTCTCCGTCGGTGCAGGTGCCGCCATTTTGACATGGACCGGACACACATTCGTCAGTATCTGTTGACAAGACATGAATTCATCAAGTAGGCAACAAATATTCAAGTACATCTTTTTTATTTACAAAAAAAGGAAATCCAGGTTTCCTTACGACCTACCTGAACCACAGGTCAGACTGGTGTACCCTGGTGCGCATGTGCAAGTGTAGCCGTTTATGTCATCAATGCAGGTTCCGCCATTTTGACATGGACCGGACAGACATTCGTCAATATCTGTTGACACAACATACAAAGTGATGATGAGCAAAAGGAACAAAACCATAATATCATAAATCGGCACTCTTAGCAAAATGGTGTATTAGGTCATTTCTTAGGATATAACAGAATTTCACTTTTTCATATAATACGACGTACCTATGTCATTTCTTACGAGAGGAATTAAATCACTTTTCATTTACTAAAAGTAATATAGCCTACCTATCACACAGGTCAGACCAGTATACCCTGGTACGCATGTGCAACTGTACCCATTAACTCCATCAGTGCAGGTGCCGCCATTTTGACATGGACCGGACAGACATTCGTCAGTATCTGTTGACAAGACGTTTACTGTATTTAGCGAAAAGGCAACCGATGTCACAAAATGGATACAAAGATATGCATTTATCAGATGAAATTAATTCTCTGACACCCCATACACCCCAATTCTCTTTATATGTAATACTATTAGTATGACGTACTTGTTCCACAGCTCATGTCCGTGTACCCTGGTGCGCATGTGCAGCTGTAGCCATTTATTCCGTCAATGCAGGTGGCGCCATTTTGACATGGACCGGATAGACATTCGTCAGTTTCTGTTGACAAGACATTTATTCATTCAGCAAGCAGGCAACCACTAGCTGGATAAGCTTATATTGTTTTTACACAAAAAAAAGAAATTCAACGACTTACCTGATCCACATGTCAGACCAGTGTACCCTGGTGCGCATGTGCAGCTGTAGCCGTTTATATCATCAGTGCAGGTTCCGCCATTTTGACATGGACCGGACAGACATTCGTCAATATCTGTTGACGAGACATTTACTGAATTTAGATCAATTTAGCGAAAAGGCAACCGTTGTCACAAAATGGATACAAAAATATACATTTACCAGATGAAATACAATTCACTTTTTTATAGTGTATATGACGTACTTGTTCCACAAGTCTGGCCGGTATACCCTGGTGCACATGTACAGCTGTAGCCATTGACTCCGTCAATGCAGGTGCCGCCATTTTGACATGGACCGGACAGACATTCGTCAATATCTGTTGACACAAGGAAAGAATTGATAATTAGCAAAACCATAACCAAACTATGATATTTTTTTCACTACGTACTAGTAAAATGCCTTATCATATAATTTGTTTAGAAGATCACTTTTTGATAATACAAGACGTACCTATTACACATGTCTGACCAGTGTACCCTGGTGCGCATGTGCAACTGTAGCCGTTTATTTCATCAATGCAGGTGCCGCCATTTTGACATGGACCGGACAGACATTCGTCAGTATCTGTTGGCAAGACATAAGAAAATAATCAACCGATAATAAGTACTTCTTACCAAAGTGAAAAAAATAACACTTTAAAAAAAATGGCCTACCTGTCAAACATGTTTGACCGGTGTACCCTGGTGCGCATGTGCAGATGTAGCCATTAACTCCATCCGTACAGATGCCGCCATTTTGACATGGACCGGACAGACATTCGTCAGTATCTGTTGACAAAACGTATTGGAACAAAACCACAATATTTTTTATAGAGACACACAAGCAAAATGCTCCACCAAGAAATTTCTTCAGAAATTTACTTTTCACCCACCTATTCCACAGGTCAGACCGGTGTACCCTGGTGCGCATGTGCAAGTGTACCCATTTACTCCATCAGTGCAGGTGCCGCCATTTTGACATGGACCGGACAGACATTCGTCAGTATCTGTTGGCAACACATTTATTAAGTGAAGATGCAACCATTGTCACAAAATGGGTACATCCGTACAAGAATATGCATTTATCAGAAGAAATCAAATTAACTTTTTGTACAGTCAGTATGACCTACTTGTTCCACAGTTTAGACCGGTGTACCCTGGTGCGCATGTGCAACTATAGCCGTTTATTCCATTAGTACAGGTGCCGCCATTTTGACATGGACCGGACAGACACTCGTCAATATCTGTTGACACAAGGAAAGAAACAAAACTATAATATTTTTCAGCGCCACAACAGTAAAATGCTCTGTCCTTTAATTTCTAAAGAAATTCACTTTGTCATAAAATATGGCGTACCTATTGTACATCTCTGACCGGTGTATCCTGCTGCGCATGTGCAACTGTAGGCATTTACACCGTCCATGCAGGTGCCGCCATTTTGACATGGACCGGACAGACATTCGTCAATATCTGTTGACAGGAAGCACATATTTTACGAGCTAGGCAACCATTGTCACAAAACTGAGACAAAGAAGACATTAATTTCACATGGCCTACCTGTTCTACATGTCTGGCCATTGTACCCTGGTGCGCATGTGCAACTGTAACCATTGACTCCGTCGGTGCAGGTGCCGCCATTTTGACATGGACCGGACAGACATTCGTCAATATCTGTTGACAAGACATGAAGTCATAAAACGGGCAACCAATATCTGCATAAGCATACATTATTATTTTACGAAAATAAAAGAAATCCAGCTCTCCTTGGACCTATCTGTTTCACAAATCAGACCTGTATAGTGTATACCCTGCTGCGCATGTGCAACTGTAGCCATTTATTCCATCAATACAGGTGCCGCCATTTTGACATGGACCGGACAGACATTCGTCAGTATCTGCTGACAAGACAATTATTAAGCGAAGAGTCAACCAGACACAAAATGGGTACAAAGATTTTCATTTATCAGATAAAATTGAATTCATTAGTATGTAATCTACCTGTTTCACAGGCCAGACCAGTGTATCCTGGTGCGCATGTGCAGCTGTAGCCATTGACTCCGTCGATGCAGGTGCCGCCATTTTGACATGGACCGGACAGACATTCGTCAGTATCTGTTAGCGAGATATGAATTCATCAAACAGGAAACCAAAAGTTGAATAATAATCTTAGATTGTTTTTTTTTTTACCAAACGAAAATAAATCCAGCTTTTTTTACGACCCACCTGTTCCACAGTTCAGATCTGTGTAGCCTGGTGCGCATGTGCAACTGTAGCTGCCTATTCCATCAATGCAGGTGCCGCCATTTTGACATGGACCGGACAGACATTCGTCAGTATCTGTTGACATAACATACGTACTTGTAAAGAATCTATACCTAGAGAAGTAACATTTGCAAAGCAAATGCATAATGTTCATCTTCGGACATGGTCTGCTCTGTCAATTCTTACTAAAACACATTCACAAACATGTACTACTAGTATATGGTGACAGGAGCAGAGCAGACATTAAATTGCAGCATTATGTAACCCAACACCAGTCACTATGGTGACTGACGTCAACAAATCATGTCATTGGCCAGGTCAGAAGTCACTGGAGAAAAAGATGAGGAATCTGAGCAAAAACAATATGTTTTCCTTCGGTAAACATAATGAGCGAAACACTAGATTCTAGTGAAAAGAATTTTGTGTCTTTAGATTGTCCAAAGTGTTAACATACCTATGACACAGGTAAGGCCATTGTACCCATACCCTGGTGCGCATGTGCAGCTGTAGCTGCCTATTTCATCATTGCAGGTGCCGCCATTTTGACATGGACCGGACAGACATTCGTCAATATCTGTGAAGAAGACATGAATTCAGTCAACAGGCAACCAATATATAATAAGCTAATATTTTTTTAAAGAAAATAAAATTAGCTTTCTTTGCAACATACCTGTTCCACAGGTCAGACCGGTATACCCTGGTGCGCATGTGCAACTGTAACCATTAACTCCGTCGATGCAGGTGCCGCCATTTTGACATGGACCGGACTCACATTCGTCAATATCTGTTGACAAGAAAATAATGAAAACTAGAAAGGTAACACATGCAAAGTATGTTTACCTTCGCATATGGTCTGCACTGTTAATTCTTACTCAAACACATCCACAGATATGGTCAGACAGGAGTCTAAATCCCTCCTGCTATAAAATTGCAGCATGATGTAACCCAACACTAGTTACCATGGTAACAGACAGTCTGACCTTTTTGGTTTGGAGAAGAAGAATTGGAAAATTAGCAAAAACAATGTTTCCTTCAGTAAACATGGAAATTGCCGAACTACATGTAGGACGAGTATATAGTGTATTTTTGCGCCTGTATCATTACCAAAAACCACGCATTCGAAAAAAGAAATTAAAGAAAAAAAAAAGAATGACAAAATTTTCCTTACTGATTTCGCAGTCCTTGCCAGTGAACCCAGGCACGCATGCGCAGCTGTAATCGTCCAGGCCGTCTATACATGTTCCGTTGTTCAGGCAAGTCACATTTATACAGTGATCAATTCCTGGAGGAAAATCACAACGTTTAATGTGAAAAGGAGGTAAGTTATCGAACCGAGACGGGGGGCGTTACCGACTTTTAACCGCATATGGCCCATTACTCACGTCACACTTCCCTAAGGTCACGTGTCCTGAGCAATCAACAAAATTTTCCTGAGGAAGACTAAACGTTGCAAACCACTTTTCTAATATAAAAATACACAACATATTGATCTATATTCAAACTTTTGTCAGAAAATCTAGTATTACGAAAGCAGAGCAATGCACCTGGCACGTATATCCCCGCATGCTATTTTTGAAATGTTCTATCTGATGACGTCTTACCGTCGCATCCAATCAGCTCCATCCTTAGTCGACACAAATAACCGTTACAGGTGTTTGGACGAATCCGGAGAAAGTTGGTAAAAATGGGCGGGTCCACATCAACCTCTACGATTGACTTCCCGTCAGTGTTGCCAGTAAAAGTCTGTGAAAACGAAAAGGGAAGTTTTCATATTCGAAATTGTACGAATCATCTTAACAGTTGTCACAAGCCCTAAGTGTGCATCTTCCTGTCAAAACTGCGATTACGGTAGACTGAGTACAGGATAAATTCTGGGTAAACATAGAATATGAAGATTCAAAACAGCAGAAAGTTTGTTTACAGTCTAGAGTTCGCTGTCCCTTGTTGGGAAGGTTTACCAGAATTTTTCATCTGTCAATTGGTCTGTCAACACATAAGGAAACACACACGGACACACACACACACACACACACACACACACACACACGCACACACACACACACATGAACCGAAAACAATACCTCCGTCCCCGTAGGTAATGATAGTCATAAACATACTAACCTTCCCGTTTTCGTACGGAAGCCAGTCCGTCGTGTCGTTGCTGATCTCTACAGTATAAGAGCTGACCCAGCCTTGCCACAGCCCCTGGGTCTGGAGAGACGTGATGTGACGAGGGATAACCGGCGGGCGAAGGTCCACCTAAGGAACAAGAAATCATTTCATACACCTTCAGGAAATATTGATAACGAAGGAGTTGGTGAATCTCCTCTGATCTTCTTCAGTAGACTGACCCAGTGAGGCTTGTCCGTGACTTTTTTTAAGTGTGACGTCAACACTGAGTTAAAGGTACCTGGTAGACGATGCCGGGCACGCCACGTACCAAAATACACATTTTAGACACACCGTGTTTGCAAAATACTCCGATGCCAGCCAGTACTCGTTTAAAATTTATTACACAATTGTCGCCGTACGATCAAGGACATCTTAGTTGTTACGCAAACCCAGCGACGGGCAACCACTTAAGGTTGGCAGCAAGTTGCGTTAGAATAGCGAACAAATACACGAATTAAACCTGACTTTGATGTAGACTAATGTTATAATGTATGATAGAAAAGCGGTCCCCAAGACGTTCTATCATTTAAGGTGTTAATTAAGATTCGGTTCTACTGTGATTTATGGAACTTAATAACTTGGGTCAGTCTTTTTGAATTGCTCATAAATAACGGAAAGGTCCAATAATGGCGTAATTAAAGCCTTCGTGCAGTATAAACTGATGGGCTTCAGCATACGCCCATGTAACCATGGTGATAGGTGGTGACGTCACCAGTAACCAAGGTGATGGGGGGCCATCTTACCTGTAACCATGGTGACGGGTCCGTGGTGTTAGTCTGCCAGGCCCGGCCCCCGTTCAGTCTGGCGCCCCATGGCTGGTAGTGCCAGGTCGTGTTCCAGCCAGACGCCGTCAGTTGTTCGTTCTGGATGTAGCCACTGCTCATCCCCAGAGCAAAGGTGCAGCCATCCGGTGCTGAATTAAAAATTTGAAAAAAGACAATTAAAAGTTAAATTTTAGTACCATGTGACAAAAAGTTTTTTTTCTATATTCTGTACGTTTTGCCACCATTTTGGTATCCAAAGCAAATATAAGGATTAAAAAATATTCTGCATTTGTTTGATTTTGACATCTACGGCAATTTCTAAGCACATTTGTCATCATTTCGTACTTGAAACGTTTGAAATAGCACACAAATAAGCTACACGAGAATTCCCTTTTCAAAAAATACAATGAACCAGCTACGATCGCGATAGGAACAAGCAACCATTTCCCGTCAGCGACATCGCATTTTTGCCTCACAGATATCAGTATGCCATGGCATAGGGCATGCAAAATGCTACAACTTAAAGAATGGTCAAAATATTAACTTGAAAATCTGTTTACTGCCCTGATATGGCTTTAGGCTGAATACGCATAGTTCACGCTCTTTCTATTTCCAAACGTAGTGGATAAACCGATAGAGCCGATATACATGTATCTTTTTGTCAACATAGCGTACTCTACAAGACATACATCACATATCATGAAGTAGAAAGTTACCTTGTGCTTCGACAATAGTATGTCCGCTTGCCAGGAAAGCTACCACAAACACGTTGTAAGAAAGCCACCAAACATCGCACCCTGCCATTTTGCAGCACTAACCTACCCCACAACAGCGCTAGCTAGTGCTGAGCTTAGAAACCCTGACCTAAGGTATCGCCAATAGGTGTTATTACCCTTTCGCCTTTATCATCATCAAGCCACCTGGTCTATAGATAATACAGCAATAAATTATTGGTGTTGTTTAGCTTACTTTTCTTCCGATCTAATTCAAAACAGACTTAGAGAAATCTGTTGCTCAAAGAAACAATAGTGTTTAGTGTATAAAATACTGTTATCGGTGCATTTAAGGGGCCTCCATAGCATGCCAAATACTGGGTGTTTTGGGGGTCTTTGGAGCTTTTATGTGCTATTTTCTGATTGCATATAGACAACATAGCCGGGCTGGTTGAATTACCCCCGTTTTTTTTAACTGGGCTAATCAGAAAAGAGCCGAAGATCACAAACCCCCCAGTTCTATAAGCCTGCTACGGAGGCTAGCATTTAAGAGCCTAACTCTGTCTTCGTAGTTTCTACATATATATGCATCGCGTAGTACTATTTTGTGGTATAGTGCCTTTGGCTTTTGCCAAATATGTAGAAACACCTAGAATCTATTTCCGACTGTTGCATGCTTTAATTTGTCATTAAAAGAGCCACCGTATCTCTTTTTAAATCGCCAATTGCTTTTATTGCCTGCAGTCGAATGGGTACCATTGCTTGTTCAATCGTGTTATCTCCTTGGTCCACATAATGGACACTACATTGTGCTTATGTCACAATATGTGGGTTATTTTTGAAACAGTCTGTTTGAAACAGTCCCTAAGTACAGTGTTATGGATACTGCTTGCAAGTCTTCACCTAGCTATAGAGGTATTTGTGGCAGTTATGATGATGATAAATTTCAAACTGCATTTGTTGGATCACAAAAGAAAATCCGTACACACCTTAACACACACATTAAGAAGTAAATGTATCAAAGAATGTTTAGAACTTAGACGAATTAATATAAGTTGATTCATCTGTTGTGTTGTACGTAGCTAGGTTAATTCTAAATGTGTACGTCTATTTATAGACTTTACGGAAGTCGCTGTACTTTTGTTGTGTCAATTAAGTTCTCCAGTAAATAGACATCGGTTGTTGTGTGTAGTATAGCTGTCAAACTGATCCTAAGGTCGGGAAATTTATGGAAAATTTCATACCCCCGATGATTTATTCATTTACATGCTGCATACTTTTAAAAAATCTGTCAGAAAATCCCTAATCAGCTTATTATAGTCCAAACAGCCGAAACCACTATATGCATCTTTGTTTACATAAAGAGTTGCGTAATAAAAACAAAATCATGAGCAGCCACTTAATTGTACTTTGACTATGGTCCGCTTGAGGGCTCTGGTGTTACATTTTACATTTTGAAGCTCTATATGCATCTTTGTTTACATTAAGAGTTGCGTAATAGAAACCAACAACTCATGACTGTCATGAGCAGTCGCCATTTTGTTTTTAGCAAACAATCTCGCGTACTTTGACCATGGTCTGCTTGGGGGCTTCTGTGCTACTTGTTACAGTTTTTGATGCTTTATATAACTATACAGATACGTATGTTTTGCATATACACAAGCAAAACAAATTGTAAATTGAAAGTCAGCTAGTAATGTCATCATATATTCCACATGCCAGCTGTTACGAGATCTGTTAGTATCATTTTCTTTGAGTCTAGAAATTCCCAATAACAGACACTTTAAAATCATCATGGCGGCCGCTTTGGGAGAGCGAGAATTTATAGAGCTCTCAGTTTTCCACAAAGTGGAAGAACTAACCTGCAGCGTCTGCTTGGATCTGTTTGTGACACCCAAGACGCTACCGTGTGGCCATACCTTCTGTCTAGACTGTCTTCAGAAACACTCAACAGTAAAAGTACTGTTCTCATGTCCCCTCTGTCGTCTGACCATCAAAATACCACCCGGAGGTATACCGTACCTTACCTCCCGAGCGGACGTCTAGATCCGAATATTTGTGGTAGGATCGAAAACCCCGAGAAATCTGAGGAAAACTGGATCGAGTGCAGATCATTTGGCGGCACTGGATCTCAGAGAGGACAGTTCCGTGGCCCTCGCAGTTTGGCGGTGTCCGACAGAGGGGAAATCTTTGTAGCGGACTACAGAAACAAGAGAGTACAAATCTTTGACTTTCAAGGCACATTCCTCAGTTCTTTCCATACGACATTGCCTGGGGAAGAAGAGGATATCTACCCGTACGGTGTCACACTGGATAGCGGAGGGAACATTTGGGTGGTCGGAAGAGCACCAAGCAAACCAAAGTCGTCTTCCTTGTCGTCTTCATTTGCACTGTTGGACTACTGTGGTGTGACAACCAACTCTAGCCACTACAATAGAGAGCGTACAGCCTCTTCCAGTGACTTTGCCGCTCAGTACACAAGACAAGGACGATACGTGATCCACTTTGACGTACAGAATACAAGATGGGCAGCAAGAGGAATCGCCATGGATTCTAGAGAGAACAACGTCGTCGTTACAAAGGTTATCGAGGACGGCAACAGTGTAGTTGAGTTGTTCAAGCCGAACGGGACACTTTTGAGGACCATCGGTGACCAAGAGGGGATAGAATATCCACACTACGTTACCGTGGATAGGGAAGGAAGAATTCTAGTCTCTGATAGTGCAGGTCCTTTTGTCTTCGTGTATAATATGGAGGGAAAGTTTCTCTTTAAGTTTGGAGGGTGGGGGGAGGCAGGCGGCCAGCTGAACAGGCCCCATGGAATCTGTACAGACGAGTCAGGTCGCATCTTTGTGGCAGACAGTGGAAATGACCGAGTGGAGATGTTTGACAGTACAGGAGAGTTTCTGTCCCATGTTATTTCTGACATTAAGCAACCACTGGCCGTTGCCATGACTGGGAATGGGAGTCTTGTTGTTTCCAACAGTGAAAATGTAGTCACAATTTTCCACAACTAAAAACCATTCGATTCCATAATAATGATTGTATTTGCCACTTTTGAAGGCGACAAGAGCAAAAAGTTAGCAAGTTGTAACACAGCGTTGGGCTAAGAGTAGGAGAAATTGTCGAACTTACATGTAGCAAGGCCACTACGAATATTGTAATCATATCATGTTGATCAAAGTTTTAAAGATATTCAAGAAAATCTCTTGTAACCATGATAACGTACCCGGTCCCAACTGGATCCTATAAAGTTTTCACTTCTGAATACATAATTTAGGTAGGCTAAAATATGAGATATTGGGACTAATAAAAGTCAATAGTTTATGACTGTGTGAATTGGCTATATGGCAATAACATTAATGATTTGTTATAGCTCACTGGCCAGTTGTTACGTGACTGTCAACAACCTGGGGTGAGCACTTACTTTTAACGACGTATCGGTCAGTGCAGTTCTGAAATGTTCCCCAAGGTGGCGTCCATGTATGGTCGTCTACGCGGTACAGAGCCACACACACACCTGCCACCATGTTCCACTTGACTTTGCGGTTTACCAATAAGGCGCGTACTTTGACATTTTTATATCGGTGCGCATTGATAAGAGATTTTTAATGATTGTTTATATCGATACCTCCGACAAAGTGAGACAAGATTTCTGTTTCTGGATGAATCCGAAAGCGTAATATATTTAGCTCTGCTCTCGTATGTACGGAGTCCTGTGTATTAGTATAATTCCGATAAACACTGGATTATTCCAATATCCAATATTCCTATGGTCTGGAATTCTGGATTACAGATGTTCATTGGCGATCTGCCTTTCACGTGACGGCCATTCAGCCTTAGCGTTTTGTACTATCTTGGGTACTGATGCCTTACCTTGCTTTTTGAAACCGACACAAGTCATTTGCTGATCCCGTGACCAAAACTCAAAAGGGCCAAATGCCAAACCCGTCATCGGCATTGAACTTCGAATTCGCCTTGTTGTTTGTGCGCCCCCCCTTCCCACAAAATTGTGCGCAGTCACTGAGAGCTTGCATGCTCTATTGCACGTAGCCACTCAGAGGCATTCGTAAGTGACACCTGTAGCCCCCCCCCCTCCCGCTGTGCATCACTTCTCGTTAGCTGTTATCTCTCTTTTTCATCTGACCCCTTAAGGTTCACCAGTACTCAGGGTCATGTCACCGGGCTCTTTGCATACATGCATTGTAAACGTCCCGTAAACAAAAAAGAACACGTTCAGACTACTCTTCAACACTGCGACTGTGCTGTAACCAAGCAAATTGCACGAGTGAGGTGTAAAAGTCATTAGTTCAAAGTTAGGTACAGATTTTAACTTTGATTAGCCAGACCCATGGCAAATAACGGACAAAATTACAACCTCATGTATCATATGATTTGTATCATATGGCCATGTATACCTGGGTGTTTTTTTTTGTTCAGGTAGAAGTTGAAGTTCATTTTGCATTACGTTATACTCGTACGAATTGCCAATTCTACCTCCATGGAGGGATTTAAACTCATGTCACCATATATATGAACGTGTTTGAGTAAGAATTATCAGAGCAGACCATATGTGAAGGTAAACATTAGGCATTTGCTTTGCAAATGTTACTTTTCTAGTTCATATGTTGCATTGCACGAGAATGCATATCATCACAAGGATAACACGGAAGAGATAGACACATGACAAGGAAGAAATACCAGCGTACCAACTTGTACCATGTAGTCACGCATGGTGTGAAACCTGGTATTTGGTCTTGGGACCACTGGAATGGTAATTAGAAGAGGAATTTTAGCTACTGTTTACATTTGGCACTGTACTTGTACCTGTTGATCGATAGAAATGTGTTTTACCTTTTTTTCTACCACACATAAGTTTATATCTGGAGCTGTGTTGTAAAATATTCGTTGTACGTTTATTATATAGCGATGTGAAAACATTCCTGCCACAGTCATTGGAACAAATTTTGATTTGATTTGATTTATTGAGATTGTAACAATACAATACACGTGGAACAGAGGCAGCTGTTGCTGGTGTTGTATCCTACACATAGGAACAAATACAGGACAGATAATACTCATTTTCACTTGAGGTAAGTGAGGAGAGTCGTGTAAAGTGCCTCTCTCAAGGGCATCGGTGGCATGTCAGGACTCGAACCCGGGACCTCTTGGTCCGAGTCAAACACTCTGCCGTTACGCCACACGTCGTGCAACACAAAAACGTCGTCGTATACCTTGTCGGCGGTACGGTTCTGCAATAGTTTCGCTGAAAACCCTACGGCCAAAAATTCTCGGTGAAGAATGCGACCGTCCCTTGACCAAAGGAAGTCGTCGGAGCATTTTGTTTACCAAAACACTGAAACCTCATTGTCTTCTTTCACAGGTGTCTTCCGCTCCATCGGATCCGTACTGTTGACACTTGGGAAAGGTCCATCGCGAAAATGGGACTTATGGGCACCTGTCAGTGAAAATCTTAGGGTATGGGGGTGACGAAGGGGTGTGTTTCACAAGAGAAAGATTTCATTTTTGATACGTTGGAATATAATCGTTGAATTTACTCTGCGTATGCAGTAATATCAATTTTTATTTTAACCACGCTAAACAGATCATAACTATTTCACATTAAAAGTGTATGAAATTTGATCTTTAAGTACACCTTAAAACATGCGTAAAGTGTTTTTTCACTGGAGTCTGAAAAATGGAACATTTAGTAATACGCATACTATAAGATACACTTAAAGGTAGAATTTTTTTTGCAACGCAAGTACTACGTATACGTAGCGTTACAGACCTTTGTTTTTGGAACGTGACAAACTTTCTAAGGTGTATGTTGACCTTTTACTACTGACTACTGTAAACAGTTCCCCATATGCTAATAAACGCGACACGGTATGTGAAATGGGACAACGCGTTGAGAAACTTAACGCCCTAATTCAAAATCACCCCCGAGAACAAACACGGAAACAACGGCTCTATTTCTTCTCGAGCACTGTTCGTTTCCTTGTCGCCACCTGGACATTTTGGGATCGTAAAGTTGAGAGGAAGATTTCGACAGGTGCCACTACTACAGGTGATAACAGTACAACAGAGGGAGAGGCGATAGTTACAAGTTCACGGGTAAGTACTTGCATGGGCGTTGGTGGGAGCTCTTACTTGTGTAATAGTACACTTAGCAGTACACATACCAGTGTTCTAGCCAGGATTTTTTCATAGCATAGGGGTCAGGTACAGAAGAGCAACTTTCGTGGCGAAAATCACGCATTGAGTCGAAAACGTTTGAAACTCATAACCCCCTGAGACACTATTTCTTGTTTTATGTGGAACAGATTTTGTGACGTTAAGGTTGTCCCTTTGCTATAGCTTCATTCGAAAGTTATAATATTTTTTTTTTATCTTTTGCAAGATTTATGAACGTTCTCCCTCCCAAAATACCCCTATGCTGTTTGAAACTTAGCATAGGGGTCAAAATTATAGCATAGGGGTCAATATTGTAGCATAGGGGTCAATATTGTAGCATAGGGGGTCAAAATCATAGCATAGGGAGACCCTATAGGCCTGGCTAGAACACTGCATAGATTCTAGCAGTAGGCACTCAGGTAACTTAAAGGTAGAAAATTTTACGTGGGAAATGTGTTTTAGTGTCGACTTTGGCATCCAACGCGATTTCAGGGCAGTAAAACTGGATTTTCAAAGTCAATTTTCTGGTCATTTTTAATGTAGTAAGTTGAATCTTTTCCCATAACATACTGATATATGTGAGGCAAAATGCGATGTCGCTGACAGAACACGGTTGCTTGTTTTGTATCGCTGGCTGGTTCTGGCTATTTATGGGTGGTACCCAAAAGTAAAAGGACTCACGTGGGTTGTTTGTGGGTTATTTCAAACGCTTTAAGTATTAAACGAAAGAAATGACAGTAAATGTCAATATCAGACAGAATATTTTTGTGCTGTCACCCTAAAACTGCATTGGATTCAAATTCTTTTCATTAGTCATATAGCTTAGAACTATGCAACACAAAACCTCAGGTAAGGTTAATTTTGTGAGTGACGTTTAGTGGCTGAAGTTTAAACAAGTTTAATTACTAGTAGGTTCTTGACGATGTTTTTTGTTTACTACATGTATTACTAGTTGTTAACACAACCTGGTAGTTTCTATCATTTGTTTTCGCGTTTTTATATCCGTTATACACTGTATGTAAGGTACCAGTTAAACTACCATTCTGAAAGATTTGTCACACATGTTGAAATAAGAAATATGTAAGGGTTACATGTATAACATCATGTAGCCGTTCTTCCACTGCTACACTAGTACTACGGGGGGGGGGTCAGTATTTAGAAGTTCACGGGTGGGTGCTTACATGGGCGTGGCTGGAACGCGAGTGAGTTACTGGTAACAACAGGCACTCAGGTAATAGAAATGTACATATTGACTGTGATATATGAGCACAGCGCTACTATATTATATTTTCTGCATAATATACGACATATAGAAATGCTAGAAATGTTGGATGTGTGACCTATGCAAACTATTTTTCGAGTCAGAATATACGTATGTAATACCAACACGCACACAAATGTACACGTATACGTATGCACGAACACAACCACTATACTGCTTTTCAATGGTGCACCGGTGTTTCAATAGCTTAAAATCCGGTAAAATTGAGTAACTCCCAGATATTTGCCATCCTACAGCACTCAGGCGTTCAAACACAATAACACTGACACACACACACAAACTTATACACATGTAGACACACACACAAACACACACACACACACGTATTTCTCACCCTTCCTCCCCGCTAAACGTATGTAATGGAATGACCTTTTAATGTTTTTCCTTGCGTGTTTGCCCACAGATTCCAAAACATGGTGTGTCATCACACAAAACAAAAATTTGCACTCTTCTGTAAAATGACCTGAGGTTGCTTTTGAAAGGTAAATATGGTGTTGTGAACATTAAATTCACGACTTGCTTAAAATATACATTAATGGAACGACTAAGGGGGTAAGTGTTACTGCATTCGGCAATGTATACAACCCTACATAACGAAGAACGGTAAGTAAATTAAGATATTTTTGTCCACAGGTGTCCTGAGGGCATCCGGTGAATCAATCGATCAACAATCCACTAAACAAAATGGCTGCAACGTTTGGTGGTCGGACAGTCGGACTGTTGCTGTTATTTGTAGCCAACGGTAAATACTAAATAGTTTTGTCTTTATTCGTCTACGAACGACATTCGTCTGCATGTTTTAGTTACTAACACTTGTATGCCACAAGGTGGTATTGTCAAGATTCATGAACGTGTTGACATCTTAAAAAGGGATAGTAATATGCCAATATTCCGGACACTGTACGATACTTCGTAATGCTGTCAAAATATGTGTATAGAATCGTATCATGACGCTGACAATGCCTAGGCTGGGTACCATTCTATTTGTATGCCGGGGCTACCATACTCGCTCCCTAAGAAAAAGTTGTTAGGGAGCGAGTATGGGAGCCCCGGCATAAAAATGGGATGGTACTCAGGCTAAACAATGCCAGGAAAAAAAAGCAATACAACTTCCTCGTTTGACACTGCAACATGACTGCAGCGCCGGTCAACATAACTGCAGCGACGTGCAGCACACCTGCAGCGCCGGACAACACAACTGCAACGCCGGGCAACACAACTGCAGCGCCGGGCAACATAACTACAGCGACGGGCTGCACAACTGCAGCGCCGGGCAACATAACTGCAGCGCCGTACAATACAACTTCAGCGCCGGACAGCACACCTGCAGCGTCGGGCAGCACACCTGCAGTTCCGGGCAGCACACCTGCAGCGTCGGGCAGCACACATACAGTTCCGGGCAGCACACCTGCAGCGTCGGGCAGCACACCTGCAGCGCCGGTCAACATAACTACAGCGCCGGGCAACACAACTACAACGCCGGGCAGCACACCTGCAGCGCCGGGCAGCACACCTGCAGCGCCAGGCAGCACACCTGCAGCGCCGGGCAACATAACCACAACTGCAGCGCCGGGCAACATAACCACACCTGCAGCACTTGACAACCTAACCACACCTGAAGCGCCTGTCAACATGACCACAGCTGCAGCGCCTGTCAGCATGACTGCAGCGCCTGTCAACATGACCACAGCTGCAGCGCCTGTCAGCATGACTGCAGCGCCTGTCAACATGACCACAGCTGCAGCGCCTGTCAACATAACTGCAGCGCCGGTCAACCTAACTACAGCGCCTGTCAACATAACTGCAGGTCTTGTCAACAAAACTGAAGGTACAGTCAACATAACTACAGCGCCGGTCAACATAACTGCAGCGCCTGTAAACATAACTGTAGCGCCTGTCAACATAACTGCAGCGCCTGTCAACATAACTGCAGCGACAGTCAACACAACTGTAGCACCTGTCAACATAACTGCAGCGCCTGTCAACATAACTGTAGCACCGGTCAACCTAACCACAGCTGCAGCGCCGGTCAACATAACTGCAGCGTCTGTAAACATAACTGCAGCGTCTGTAAACATAACTGTAGCGCCTGTCAACATAACTGCAGCGCCTGTCAACATAACTGCAGCGCCTGTCAACCTAACCACAGCTGCAGCGCTGGTCAACATAACTGCAGCGCCGGTCAACATTACTGCAGCGCCTGTAAACATAACTGTAGTGCCTGTCAACATAACTGTAGCGCCTGTCAACATGACTGTAGCGCCTGTCAACATAACTGTAGCGCCTGTCAACATAACTGCAGCGCCTGTCAACATAACTGCAGTGCCTGTAAAAATAACTGAAACGCCTGTCAACATAACTGCAGGTACGTTCAACACAACTACCGCGCCTGTCAACCCAACTGCAGCGCCTGTCAACATAACTGCATCGCCGGTCAACGTAACTACAGGTACGGTCAACATAACTGCAGGTCCAGTCAACAAAACTGAAGGTACAGTCAACATAACTGCAGCGCCTGTAAACATAACTGAAACGCCTGTCAATACAACTGCAGCGCCTGTCAACATAACTGCAGCGCATGTCAACATAACTGCAGCGCCTGTAAACATAACTGTAGCGCCTGTCAACATAACTGAAGCGCCTGTCAACACAACTGCAGCGCCTGTCAACATAACTGTAGCGCCTGTCAACCTAACCACAGCTGCAGCTCCGGTTAACGTAACTGCAGCGCCTGTCAACATAACTGCAGCGCCTGTCAACATAACTGCAGCGCCTGTCAACATAAGTGCAGGCCCGGTCAACATAACTGCAGCGCCTGTCAACATAACTGCAGCGCCTGTCAACATAACTGCAGCGCCTGTCAACATAACTTCAGGTCCGGTCAACATAACTGCAGGTCCGGTCAACATGACTGCAGCGCCTGTCAACATAACTTCAGTTCCGGTCAACATGACTGCAGCGCCGGTCAACATAACTGTAGCGCCTGTCAACATAACTGCAGCGCCTGTAAACATAACTGCAGGTCCGGTCAATATAACTGCAGCGCCTGTCAACATAACTGCAGCGCCTAGCAACATAACTGTAGTGCCGGTCGACACAACTGCAGCGCCTGTCAACATAACTGTAGCGCCTGTCGACACAACTGCAGCGCCTGTCAACATGACTGTAGCGCCTGTCAACACAACTGCAGGTCCGGTCAACATAACTGCAGGTCCGGTCAACATGACTGCAGCGCCTGTCAACACAACTGCAGCGCCTGTCAACATAACTGCAGCGCCTGTCAACATGACTGCAGCGCCTGTCAACATGACTGCAGCGCCTGTCATCATAACTGTAACGCCGGTCAACACAACTGCAGGTCCGGTCAACATAACTGCAGCGCCTGTCAACATGACTGCAGCGCCTGTCAACATGACTGCAGGTCCGGTCAACATGACTGCAGCTCCTGTCAACATGACTGCAGCGCCTGTCAATATAACTATAGCGCCTGTAAACATAACTGTAGTGCCTGCCAACATAACTGCAGCTCCGGTCAACTTCACCACACCTGCAGTGCCTGTCAACTTCACCACAGCTGCAGCGCCTGTCAACGACACCATATCTGCACTGCCAGTCAACCTAACCACAGCTGCAGCGCTGGTCAACTTCACCACACCTGCAGCGCCTGTCAACTTCACCACACCTGCAGCGCCGGTCAACATAACTGCAGCGCCTGTCAACATGACTGCAGCACCGGTCAACACAACTGCAGCGCCGGTCAACACAACTGCAGCACCGGTCAACACAACTGCAGC